TATTTTGTCAAAAATATTGCGTAGTATCTAGACTTAAAGAGTCATTTACTATCAGTTGTCCTAACTTTGACATCAATATGCCTCAGAAAAAGGAATGCCTTAAAAAATTAAGGGCTGCACAGTGACACAGTGTGTAGCACTGCTGACTTGCAGCAAGAAGGTTCCAGGTTCGATTCCCAGCCTGGGGTCTTTCTGCATGGGATTTGCATGTGTGAATGTGTGGGTTCTCTCAGGGTACTCCGGCTTCCTCCCACAGTCCATAAACATAACTGTTAGGTTAATTGGCTTCTCTAAACTCTCCTTAGGTGTGAGTGTATGTGTGAATGGTTGTTTGTCCTGTTTGTCTCTGTGTTGCCTTGGGAAACACTGGCGACCTGTCCAGGGTGTACCCTGCCTCTTGCCCATTAACAGCTGGAGATAGGCTCCAGCACCCATTGCAACCCCAACAGGGATAAGGGTGATGGAAAATGGATGGATGGGACGGATGCCTCAGAAAATAATGAGAATGTTTGAAAAGTTCTGTTCTGCAGCATTTTTTAATCTCATGTTATGTGTTCTTTTTTTTCTCCCACACCGTTTACATTTGATCACTGCTAAGCTTAATGGAATGGAAATTTTCATGTATTGTCTGAAAGCTGTACAAAACGAAATTTCGTTTTGTATTACTCTGTGTATACAGAATGACAATAAAAGTTGTCTGAATCCAAGTCACATGAACAGCCTGAGAAGGTACATTGAGTTTTGTTGACAAAGAACCACACAATTTAAATACACACAATAAAGCAGGTTGTATTTCACAATCTCAGTGGCCGATTAGGCTCTGTACAATCATTATAAACTGCTGTGTTTCCTGCCTTTCAGGCTTGTGTGGCATTACTAAATCACAATTATTAACTTAGAGCAAAGTCCCCATCGTTATCACAGTATGATTTAGTCTGAGTGATTGATTAATCATTACTTTGCATCCCTGTTCACACAAACACATATATAGGATCATTACAACAGTTGCCATGACAACATTCAATACCCCTTGAATCTAAAACCCATTGCGGGCTTTCTAAAAATAAACGGTGTTGTCTCTTTTCAGACTCTTCTCCAAACAACCTTGGTTCACAAAAAGGTAAGGCTAAAGAGCTGTGAGACAAGAATAATTGATCTGATGAGAATTGATGCACTTTACAAACATTTGTTTGTATTTGCAATCCATGGATCACGTACTGGTCAAGCATAAAACAAATCCACCTCTTTGTTTGTTATGCCATTTAAATTAAGGCAACAAGGATGGAGTAAGCACTCACTGGGGCAGAGAGAGATCCTGCAGGGAGACAGATTAAGGCCATGTCAAATGCCCCTCTAACAACAGAACAGACAGCACACTCAGAGATGTGAATTTTCTTTTAAGACAACCAGACAAACAATGTATGACAGAAATGATTCAGTATATGTTTAACTCACTATCTCTTTCGCCCTTTCTGTTTGACTATAGCATGACTTACTTTTAAATATACAAATAATCTCACATTCTGTATATATTCTTGACGTGGCTTTATGCAGCTGCATGACTAAGTGTGCTGATGTGTCGAAAGTCGCCCTCCTCTCTGCAGTCAAGGGTGAAGAACCAATTGGTGCTTTTGGTTGTTATGTAACTCTCCAATGGGCTCTCGGTGGAAACCAAATAAAGCATTGCACGACTGATGTAAAAAGCTAAATAGTTAGGTTTGGATTCAGAAGGAAACACGCTGACATCAATGCGCTGTGAAATACCCACAGATCACTTTATTTAAACACATAACAGGTTCTCCTGCAAACTGCAGGATGATATCCACTTTACAAAGAGTGCGTGCCTTTACCAAATCTGATAAATATAACAATGTGGTTTTTTGGTCCAAGGATAACTAAGTGAAGTCATCACAGTTCAATAGCAGCGGATTATGATGAGGTAGACAGTGAAACACCCTATATATGCACATGACTAAAAGTTACATAGATAAAACATTTAACATGTCTGTAAGGTTGGTTAAAAATGCTTTAAGTAAAAAAAAAGCCTACTAAGAAAAGTTTAGCCAAAAATACATTACCTTCACAGCCAGCTTATAAACCGTACAACTTTGGGCTGGAGAAAAAAAAGACTGAACTGGCAATCTATGATGTAGATTGTTCAACTGGAAACCCCTCATTTATATTTGCAATAATAATTCAACATTTTTGTCTTGTTTTTGCCATTTGGACTAAAAGAAACCACATTAAAGTTGTCTTTTTTCGGCGTAGGGATCATTAACTACAAAAAGAAAGATATCATATCTAAAGAATAAACAGTGCATGATATTCTGGAAAATAAAAATAACGCTCTCTCTCTCTAAAGACCATTATAATTCATAATATAAAAATAAACTTTTTAAATATAAAGTCAGACAAAAACAATAACAAACATGTCAGCAGCTTGGATTTACAGTTGAATGGTGGGATTGTTTAATACTTGGCCCACTGGAACAGTTGCTTGGCATTCTCATCATAAAGGTAAATAACTTGGTTATACATACAGTGTCAAAGCTGCTAGCAGAATATGCTCACATTTATCCTTCAAATTCATGTAAATCCAGTTTATCTGCATTAGTGTTTAGTAATAATACCAGAACATAACCGTCCCCATTAGTTAGGACTAGGCATGGGCCAGTTATGAGTATCAAGTTGTACATAGGCCAATATTTTTCTTTTCCTCAAAAGTTCATATGTACCGGTACAAAAAATTTTAGCTAACAAATTCAACAGCAGATTTCTCATTTAAATGTATTGTTTTTTGATGCATTGCCATGTTATTAATGCACGTAAGTTTTGGTGAGAATGGGTCTGATCAGGTTTTGATTGTTCTTTCAGTATAAAGGAGGTGCAGCCTTTGTGTGGAAGTGGAAGCCTGCCTGAGTCTAGGTGTCTCCTGTGGCTGTAAACTCTTTGCATTGATTATATGTGGATTACCCCGAAACCCTCTACATCCTGGACCTCCTTTAATAAAAGATCAACCTGTCATGTAGGTCTAGACATTTCATTTTATCATTCTTATTACCACTTCAGGACACGTCAAGCTGAAGCTAAGGCCCACGCAGCCTACCACTCAAGTTTACCATTACAGAAGCTATACTAGGTTTTCTTAATGAGATGCCAAAGACAGTGCCAGAGTTTTCTGTGGTTGCGTAAAACACACAAAAGTACTGCAGCGACAACCTACTGCAGTCTGTTGCTGTGCACTGTCATTCAGCTGGCCGAGAAAGGGCTTATACCAAATGATGTGGGTAAGAACAAAAACAAATTTGACCATTCTTTAAATATTTATTTAGGTGCTGGCCAGTTAATGGTGTCAGTTTTTACTGGTCAAACTGGTTTAAAAAAAACTCATATCTTATACTTTTCATTAGGTCTGGAATATTTGTATAGAGATGGCAGAAAAAATGGCACAGTGACTGTTGCTGTTTAACCTGACAACAGCCAGATGCATGTCTCGCTCCGCCGAGCTGGGCGGAGCGAGACATGCATCTGGCTGTTGTCAGGTTAGTTGCTGTTTGGAGCTAATTAATGTGTCATTAACCCTCTTGCACTTGTTCCTGTGCATTGTTAGTCAGCTGGCCAAAAAAAATTTTGACATAAAAACAGAGGGAACACAACCTATCATCATTTTGATAACACTTATGTTGACAAAGGGAGTCATGGTGGTTAAACAGCCTAAAGAAACAATTTAGTGATTAAATATAATATATAACACCACTTCATTATATGCTGATGAAGATTCTCAGTCATCCAGGTCATAGTCATTCCGTAAAAAAAGAATCACTTCATTATACAACTGTTAGATTTAAAGCCTAATGTAATTTTGTCCTCAATGTACCAACTACCAACCAGGTCCTTTAAAAAGATGGCGGCAAGAGGGCCTTGCACCTTTAAAGTGTAGAAGTTCATTGCAAAAGACGAGAAAACATGCAAAAATCTGGTTGGCAATTGAAATAAGTCTCTGACTGCTGTCACGCCAATCAAGGCTTCTAGTCAATTATAAAAGTAAGAAGATATAATCATTCCATTTACTATTAACTAGCCATTTTTTTATTCTAACCATTTTATTAATAATACCACTTTTATACTGTTGTGTGTAATAACTGTTTCTCAATCAGATACAAATAATGCGTCAAGAGCAGATTGATTTTCTTTGTTCTAAATAAACACATTTATAGTATTTTTTATGTTTTTATTTACAATTATGATAATTTAAAGGAAAAGTCCAGTCAGCAAGGAATAATCAATGGATAATTATCTATACCTAAAACTTATACTTTCGCTGTGATTTAATGGATTTAGCGTTAATCAGTAAAAAAATTAAAATAATAATTTTCGTTGAGATTTTCAAGTCGGGGAACGGCCATTTTTGCCCAAATATAGTAACACCTCACTCCTGACATCTTCCGGCAGTGACATCACAGTGCGGTAAGCCGAGTACATTCTCCCAGCTTTACAAAAAAAATCAATGGGAACCACTAGATACGCCTGCAATCAACAACAATGAATTAGGATTTCGAGAGGACTTCACTATTTAATATTCGTGTGAGCTATAGTTAAACTGACAATGCCCACATGCATGGCAGTTGGATGTAGTAATACATCAGGTAAAAGTGACAAAAAAAAAAGAGTTATTCCACCTTTCCAATTCATGATCCACCATGGGTTCGTCGTTGGATTGCCAACTTGAAAAGGGAGGATTTGCCATCGAACTTCTGGCAAGAGAAAAAACACATAATATCTAGCCAACATTTTGAAGAAGTATGTTTTCAAGAGGACTTAGATAATAGCACATTGTGACAAAGACCAGATACAGCACTGGGACTTGATTAACAGCCGATACCGCACCGTGACGTCACAAACCGGTAGTACAGGCAGTAGTACCGGCAGTAGTGTTCTTTGACAAACATGGATGTCTCTGGGAAAACACATTCAAATGAAATTACTCTTAATTAAAAACACTTATCATCTATTAAACAGCGTGTAATAATTTCATATTTAAAGTACTTTCAGAAGTTTGAATTCTGAATATGCCCGGACTTTTCCTTTAATACAACTGCACTATTGCTATTTACGTTCATTAAAAACTATATTTTTATGTAAATCCATACCTACATTTGAGGTTGCAAAAAGCATGGGCAGTGAATGTGTGGGGGTTGAGGAACCATCCATTATATCACTGTCTGAGGAAAAATAGCAAATGTTGATCTTAAACATCTTACTGAGTCGATTGATCATAATCGACATACCAGTAAAGTTGTGTTTTGGCTGTAATGATCAATATGTTAGATTATTTCATCTACAGTAGAACTGCTTGTTACTTTTCTCTTTTAATAAAGCGTATTTGAATACGTAATACATTTTTGACCATTTATACCTGTGATATTTTAATAAAAGTTTTATAATCATGAAGATGTCAACTGACCCATGCCTAGGTAACTCTCAGTCCTGTATAGAAAAGTTATGTTTGATAATGTTAATGATTTATTTACCACTGTTTAATCCTGTTTATAACCACTGGTATGATAAGCAACTACAACTTATTACATTAACATTTCAATTATCAAAGAACCGGCAAAAAATGTTGCAATTGCTCCGGTATGCCCTTTCCTGACAAACACCAAAGGTCACATAACAGTCTATGATATAGAGTTTAACAGTCATTAAACGTCTACTGAAACACTCCATACCTCGATCTGAGGAGAGTGTCACAAACTACATCGAATAATGTGTGCAAAGACACTCTAACAGTCATTGAATACCGAAGAAAGCTTTGAGTAAGGTTAACAGTTCTTGTCCGTTGCCACTGATAAAGGTTTAGTAAACTCGATTTGTTTTAGTTGCTAAAAACTCAGATAAAAACATCATACACCACTACTATCAAGTGTAATAAAAAATAAATAAATCAAACCTGCAGACACACAGAGTTATGAGTAGAGTGATTAAAGTTTCTCCTGTAAAATCACATGTTAAGAATCACTGTGTTCCAGATAGATACAGAGCTGCCTTAGCTGGCCACACTAACAGTCACAGTTTGAATAGTGTGCGATGCCTTTATCTATACAATCTATACATATATATATATATATTCCGGTATGTCACAAGTGTGTAACTCGTATAAGACACAACATAGAGACCACTTTAGTCACTCTTATTTAGTAAATATATCAAACCCATTATATACAAAGCAACTTTAGATGCTTTCATCTTACAGGTCCAGACTCAGAAGACCACCTGTCTCAAACTCTCACAGCTGTACAGCAGCGTCGACTGGAAGCTAAACATCCACAGCAAAGAAAATAAACTCTGCAATCGGTCGGTCTAATTTTAAAGTGTAACTACACCATACATTCGCCATGTTATACAAACCAGCTCACAGAGCACATGTACAGCAGCCAAAGACACGATGCTGCACTGTTACACAACCTTGTTCCATGGCAACCGTGTTGATGGTTTGACAGCAACTGCTCAGCAGCTCCCGCTGTGCTCCTCAGTCAGCCTTGTCCTCACCGTTCTTGGCCCATCCTCTGCTCATTACCGCTACCACTATGCTGTACATGTTAAGCCAGGCTTGGCGCAGCGGCGCTGTGTAAGCCTGACCCAGACTGCACTGCAACATGTAGAGAAGAGACTCTCCTACATCCTGCAGAAAGGAAAAAATATATATAATTGTGTCCCTTGTTAATTAATAAATTACCAAAGAATAAACACATTTTTCTTTTTCCATGATAGACTTTCACTATTAACATAGGGCTGAGTGATGCTAGATCTAAAGAGAATCTGAATGAGAACATAAAATGGACTTTAAGATCTCAAAAAGAAACATATAAACATATTCAATAAAAGATAAATTTTTATATTTATTAGCCTGAAAAAGGATAACTTGTAGTAACTAATGGAAGCATAAATTCTCCCCTCAAACAGGAAGTCCTGAAGAGATTATCCAGCCCAGTATGTGGTCTTTAAGTTCAAAAGAATTACATTAACATACTTTGGCTTTGGACTTAAAGGTATAATGGAGGATCTTCTTTTTCTGGTAGGATCATCAAAATAAGTTTCAATCATTTTGGTGATATGTTTACATAAGGCCATCCAATGTGCTGGCCCCAGGTAGCTATCTTACCGGTCGTGAGTCTGACAATTTGAAAAAATTGAAAATCTTCTTCTGGAAAGTTAGCTTGTCCAAGCAATGCAAACAGCAACTTTTAAACAGAGCATGTATGAGGAGAAATGGGCTCATGCATGCTAATAGGCCTTCCCTCTTGGGAGCAGGTACAGGGTTGGGCATGTGCATTTTTTTTTTAAGTGAAGAGAGCGGGTCTTTTTAAAATTTCTCGGAAATCCTCCACTATACCTTTAAATCTGATTGAATGCTGTAATTTAACATTGACCAAATCATTCTTTATTAAAAACCCTCCAATACAGGTGATAAGAGTGTAGGCCAATACTTTTCTCACTGTAAAGTACAAATCCTGTTTAAAGGCATTGCAACCAAGGACGTCACATCTAGGTATTAGTTTATAGTTTAGTTTACATGGATGCTTTCCGGTGATAAATGAAATTTTTTATTTAAAAATTTAATTTTGCATTTACTCAGGTAATTTGTGTTTTTATGCGTGGCATAAAAAAGATGTAGTGGGTGGAATTTTTTTATCAGTCTTCTTTTACTCATCAGAATCAAATCATGTACAAAAGGCATGTGGTTATTTGATTTTCGCTTTAAAATGCCTACATTTACATAAAAATTTTAGTTGTTTTATTATTTTTTTTTAAAAGTAATAACTGCAAAAGAGAGAATGTTTCTCTGAAAGGTTCAGATTAAAAAAAGCTAACATTATTCTTTATTGTGGACACTCTGAGCTCATTCTGGGAGATCCCAATCCTTTCCAGACCACAACACAAATAGTGCCTTTAGTGTAAAAGGGGCGTAACCTAAAGCCTATTATTTTGTAGGGGGGAAAAGTTAATTTCAATCCATATGCTACGGTGGCCCTGAGGTGCAAACCACTACAACATTAAAGAAGTACAAGTTTATTTCTCTGTAGTTCCAGTTGAGTTGGAGATCAGAATATGACAAATCAGGTCAATTTCTTATTTTTAACATTAAAACAAACTGAAACCAAATTAGATTTTCTCCTAAAATATTACTTCAAGATAGGAAACAAAGGTTCCCTGTCAATTAAATAATTTGTTTTTCAAAGGAAGAATCAAATTAAGACTTTTATTTATTTGTTGGAAGTTTTTTTTCTTCTGTTTTTTATTTTTTTTAGCATCTGTGCAGATATGCGTTGATCTTACGGTGAATGACTGTGTGCTGACTCCCACTGCCTGATGCTTTCTCCCAAGATTGACCAGAAAGTCTTCCAAGGTGTGTAGATCATCAAGGTGGCTGACAGCTGCATCGATCACAAGCATTACCTGGAAACAAAAAGAATGAGAAGATACCCTAAAAAACACATTCACTTGTTAAGATGTGTTGGTACCATTTTCTGATTATGCGATATTGAGCTCACCTTGGTGACATGGTCCAGGAACTCGGGGCTGGAGAGACAGTCTTGTTTGGAATCACAGTTTGTACCGTAGTGGAAAAGGCTGAGCAGTGCAGGGTCCAGCTCAAACAGCCTACCACAGAAAAATATCACACTGCTCTATAGGTGCACTGATTCACATGGCATTGGTTCAGAAATATATGCAGACAGAAAATGAGTCCCTCCTGTTAGAGTCTGATTCAGCTGTCTCAAAGTATGTGGATTATTGCACTCTGTCGCCAAGCAACAAGTCAAGCCTCTGGTCCCTGTCTGCATGGGAAACGAGACCAGAAAATCTCCTCTCATTCTTTCTCTATACCTGTACTACAAACTCTATTGTCACAGTTATTAAGAGATACATCGGTGGGTTTAATTTGCTTCTGACTACCAGAAGGATTTCTCAGCGAAACATCAGAGATTTTTCTTCTCCCTAACATTATTATTGAACATTACCTTGAGAACATGATGACACCATGAGGAACTTTGTTTATTCCCAAGCTCTCCCAGCTGCCTCGTATCAGCTCCTTCTCTTTCACTGACAGCTCTCCCATCATCCCTGCAAGCACAAGATATACTCTTCTCTGTTGGGCAAACATATAACTCCTCTCCAAAAAGAAAAACAAAAACAAAACAAAAGGCACAATCTTTCGATAAAAAGGCACAGAAAAAAAACTTCTGTTATTCCACCATGAAACATATACTGACCATGTCAAACATAAGGAAACCTCAGCATTAGAAACGATCATACTGTACCTTTTTTGAGGTCAGCTGTCTCTGAAGTCCTGCTGCAGCCAGGCTCTGGGGAATGACAGTTTCTGTGATTATGAGTGAGTGATTGTGGTGCAGGCTGCAGGCTGACACTCAGGTCCAATTGTTCCTTCTTTCTCCGGCCCACTGTACTGTCAGGGAGGCAAGTTCTGCCACACTCTTATCTGTCACACCGCCTGCTATCTCTCTCCCCTCGTCATTTGCCTCCTGATATGCTCTCTCTCCAGCACTGGGGATGTTATTCATGCCACTGAAGGAGAAACAGAGGGATCTCTCTCTTCAGCTCCAGAGAGGCTGCAGCAAACCACAGCTCCTCCTGCAGGTGAACTGAGGTCTAAAGTACACAGAGAGACTCCATGCAGAAGAACTTTCCCGCTGGATTTTTTTATATTATAATAATAAGAATAGATTACACAACAATTATGAAGAAAAGCAAAATAACCAGAAAAACACAGTGTTAGCCGTTTTTACTTGACAATTGCTGGGTTAGAGACGGTGAAATCTATTTGAGGCCTTCATCCACTATTCTGAGATGTATCTTCAGCTGCCTACATTTGCTACCCATGCATTTACAAAATGAAACGTGTGTGAATTTAGATGGCTACAATAATAAACGACCTGATTGCACCACCTTGGTGAAATTATATTGTTCATCTACTACAGAGAACCACTCCTCAAACAGCAAGATCATAACATTCTGCGGCCAAGTGTGCAGCCTCTCGTTAATCTAAATAAGATGTGTTTCTTTCCTCTCAGCCTCCAAACACATGCTTGAAGGCTATGGTTAGCTCAAATTAATGTCTCTCCCTCTCCTACAGCACACATTTTGACTGATGCAGAGTCCTGGTCAGGTATTATCTAACAGGTTGGGGAGGGATAGGCCTATTTCTTTTGCCGTGCAACAGGGAATTGGAGGTGCACAATAATCCCTGAGGGAAAACAAAATAGAGGGAGGAAGGATGCGGGGTTCCCATGGCAACCTGACAGGATGGAGCCCTTGAAGCTTCTTCATGTCATACTTGAGATTTCAAAGAAGGGACGCACTTGCAATGATATTGAAAGTGTTTTTCCTTGTTTTGAAACTTTTTCAACCTGATGAAGCCTTCAGTAAAAAATAAAACCCATACAGTGTAGAAACTTTAAGGTCAACTGACTCCACAGTATGTTTGATCTGTGAAAACATTTTAACGATGAACTGATAGGGTTTATTACTAGAATTACCTTGTTAAACTGTATGACTTGGGCTAAATGTTTTGAATATCTTACAACACGTTTCTCACAATAGTTTTACAGGAGATTTGGCCCATTTCCCCTGAAACAACCGGTATTTCTAAGTCAGGTTTGTTGGCTGCTTTGCCTTCCAACATCTTTTTAGCTCTCCCTATGCTTATTTGGGACTAATATTAGAACTTTGTCATGATCATTTCAAAATATTTACATTGTTGTCCTTAAGCCACAAAATGTTTCTTTTCTTTAAAACTTAAGCTGTATGGCCCCTTATGAAACTGGTCCGTTTTGGTGAAGAGAGAGCTGGGCCAAAAAGCTCTCGATATACCGGTCAATCTACGTTCCTACCCTCATCTACGGTCATGAGCTTTGGGTCATGACCGAGAGAGCGAGATCCCTGATACCAGTGACCGAAATCAGTTTTCTCTGTGTGTCTGGGCTCTCCCTTTGAGATAGGGTGAGGAGCTCAGTAATCCTGGGAGGACTCAGAGCTGCTGCTCCTCCACGTCAAGAAAAGCCAGTTGAGGTGGCTCAGGCATCTGATAAGGATGCCTCCTGGACGCCTACCTGGTGAGGTTTTCTGGGCACGTCCCAACTGGAAGACACCAAGAGGGAGACCCAGGACATACTAGAGGGACTATTTTTCTCTGATGGCCTGGGAACGCCTTAGGATTCCCCTGGAGGACCTGGCCCAAGTGGCTGGGGAAAGAGACTTCTGGGTCTCCCTACTGAAGCTGCTACTAGACCCCAGATAAGAGGAAGAAGATGGGTGGATGGTTGATTGGTTGGACGGACTGGCAGATGGTCCCTTTATGACATTACAAGAAGTAAATTATCTTTTTATGTTTTACCAAATAGCTTCTTCCTCCCTGAGTGGCATTAAGGTCCACCCTTACCAGCTTCAGCCAGAGTCTTGACTAGACCCTTTGCTTTTGCTCTTGGACTGATGCACACAATACACACCAAGTTCATTTCTGGAATACAGTTCCATAACCTGTTGATAATTGTACATAATTATTTGCACAAATTAATGTGCTACTTTGTGGGTACTTTGTATCTTGTCCAATATACTTTGGTAATTTAATAGTTTCCTTCACATGTATGAGATTTTGCTTTAAGTTAAATCCCTGTATGGGTTTCCATTTTCTGACATTCCTATAAGATCATCCGGGCATCGTTAAACCTGTTTGAGGGTAAAGTAATCTAAAGTGTTTTAACCTTAGAATATTCTGTCTCATTATTTTGCGCTGTAGCAATTTGAAATAAATGTGGCAGTCCTCACCAATCTTTCTGTTAGACAGAAAAAAGTGTGAATGTATTTTAAGCATATAATGTGGTTTTAAAAATCCTATAAAATTTAGTGTGTATAGAAAAAAAAGGGTTGGGGGGCATTGCAAAGTTATCTAAATGAGCTACTAAATCTATTTTCAGGCCTTTTTGTTTTTTACATCAGCCTGGTTATTTTTGTCATATACTCCACTATGCTGGTGAAGATTCTTAGTCATCCAGGTCATAGTCATTCCAAAAAAGTAAAAACAATCCACTGGACTTTGTTTCCACGTTTGAAGATGTTTGCTTCCCATCCAGAAATCTTTTTTAATTAAAAATGTCAGAAATAGCATTGAGTTAAAGGCTTTTGGTCCACTCTATAAAGCCTCGAACTTAATGCTATTTCTGACATTTTGAATTCAAAAAGCTTCCTGGATGGGAAGCAAACATCTTCAAACTTGGAAACAAAGTTCAGTAAATAGTTTTTTTCTTTACTTTTGTGGATTTTCTCCACTACTTCTGTGTATCCCAAAAAAGCACACCAAAACATTAGGTGTCATTCTTGATAAGGTGTTTTACAAAAACAAGGGGCATATATACTTAAACACCTTTACATTTTTCAGGTAATACCCCAAATTATCTTTTAAATTTTTGATTTGTAATGATTTAAAAGATGTTTCGCTTCACAACAGAGAATATGTTATATATTATTATACATTATATATAGATGTAAGAAAAATACACCTTTGTGTCTATTTAAATATATAAACCTGATAATTGCCCTTTTCCAGTTCTCTTCCAGTCTTTTTCACGCTATCTTTAACAGACCTGCTTTGAACATTATTCTGTTAGCATTGCATCATGTGAAAGCCTGAACAGCTTAAAGGCCTGGGAGTCATGCCCACAATCGCTCTGTCTGATGACCCCTTGACTGTGTTCTGAAACATATCCAGACTTCCCCGTGTGGTTTGTAAGTAAAAATGATCTCTAAGATTCCTGGCAGACAGCTGTCAAAGCACAAGCGTACAGCAGAGGCCGGTGCAACAGAATATTTGATGTGGATTTGCAGGCTTGGAGCCGACAGCAGCTCTGGTCTGTGTGAAGGCACATGCACTGCGAGGACTGTTTATTTAGCTGGCGGGGTGGCTCTAGAAATAACCGAGAACTATAAACCATCCATTGAAGAAAAGCCAATCTCAGGCGGTTGTTGTTTTTATGTGTCTAAACAATAAAACACAAATTAAAAACAATGTCTAACGGGGTGCTGTTAAGTTTGATCATTTGTCAAATTTGCTGTTGGAAGCTTGTTAATTTTCAGACACAAAAGTAATTCTCTTCTGTTTTTGAATATTTATTCTTGTAACATCATGTCCATCATCCTCTAAATTAAAGGCTTCAAGCTTTTTGACAAGACTTTTCAAAACCAAAAGCCTTTTACGTTCCACATGTTTAGAGTGAGCGGTTTGGATTTTTCCATGTACAATAATGCTCAAAACCATGTTTCTTCTCTTTAAAAAAAAGTTTTAACAAACAGGAGGGGAAAAAGTCCTTTGCAGCTTTTTGGAAACAGATCAAGAAGCGATCTTTTCTTTATTATAGCTCCACACAATGCTCTTAGGCTATACATCTTTAGAAAACAAATTATTAACATGAACAATATCAGTGACTTCTAATGATCCTTTTCATGCATTCCTTTTTCGGCTTTGAGGTTGTAATTAACACCTTTAATGAGTCTTTCAAAAACATAATTTGTTGCAGAAGTGAACATTTATTGAGCTCCATGCATGTTGAAATTAAACTTATAGACTCCAATATATGAATGGACCACTGGTATTCAAATATTAAAAAGTTGCAAAGAAAGAAGACAGTTTTTGTAGTCAAAAATTCTCACTGCAAAAAATGGAAATCTAATTAGGTAATTATTACTTAAAATAAGTGCATTTTTTTTCTCCAATTGAGGACGAAAGTGAGACACTTTATATGAAAGACTAAAATAAGAAAAAAACAACTGCATTGTCTTATTTCAAGTTCATATTATCGAATTATCTTATTTTAAAAGCAAAGATACTAATTTCATTGGCAAATCGTCGCATTTACCCACTCAAATAAAGGGTAAATGCACTTAATTTAAGAATTTTTTACTTATTTCTAGATCATTTTTGCAGTGCAGTAGGGCTGAGATTAGGGCCATGTCATAAAATAATGTTATCACATGTGCTATCATTATTCTGGTGAACACCCAACAAAGAAAAAGTTTCAACAATCCAACCAAAACTATCTGCATGAACTTTATTCCTTAGGAACAGCCACTGTATCAGCATTTCATTCACTCTATTATGGTTCCTCAGTGTAACAGGATTAATATTAACACAAACTGAGAGGGGGCTAATTGAAACAGAAGCCCCTACCCTGGAATGCACACTTTAAAATTCACGTAAGACTTGCATTGACACAGATGAACAAAATTATTTCTGGAGAAACATTTTATGTTTGAAGTTAACCAGGATTTAGCTAATGACAAAAATATGCTTGATATAGCCAAGCAGAGATCACCAACAGTCAAGCATGGTGGTGGTAATATGATGTAATGTGTCTGCTTTGAGTTTAGGTGCATTTTTTTAAGTATGTGTATTAATACAGCTGGAGAACCACCTCAAAATTATTTAACATTCCCCAATCTTCAAGTGGGGGGAGTGTTTGTCTAGTGGTTAGAGCACTGTGCTTATGCTCTGAAAAGGTTGCAAGTACCCGATTCTTTCACCACAGCCTCCACTCTGGGTCACTGAGCAAGACCCTTAACCCCACACTGCTACCCAGGCGCCACACAGTGGAAGCCCAGTGCTCCCCAAGTGGATGTGTAAAATGCAAAGATACATTTCTCCAATATGAGAACAATAAAGTTCAATTATTTAAAAAAAAAACTTCAACTTGATTCAACAGCGGGGGGTTCTAACAGGATAATGATTCCAAGCAGAGTTTTGGAAAAGCTAAAGTCAATCTTTAGGACTGGCCCAGACCTCGGGCTTATTGAAATTAATAAGTATTGCTTAAATGTGGAGTTTGTATAAGGAAGATAAGCTTCCTTATACACAAAGCTACTCAGAGAACATCCTATGGGCCGATGAGAAAAGATGGAACATTTTGCCAAGGGACAGAAAAGGAAGCATATCAAGGAAAGAACATTGTCCCTGGTGTGAAACATGTAGCTTGGTCTCAGTCACAGGTCATGGGCTTGCAACAGGAAGTTGACCCAAAACAGACAAATAAAACCCGCCAAGAATGGCTAAGAGGACTATTCTAAAGTGGCCTTCTATGAGCCTTGACTTTAATCCATTGAGCATCTTTGGAAAGAGCTGAAAAAGGTCATCAGGAAAAGGCAGCCTTCAAACCTGAGACAACCACAGCAATTTGCTCATGAGAAGGGAAACTATATACCTGCTGAGAGGAGCTAAAGTCTCAGTGACAGTTATAGGAATCTTTCTTTCATTAAACAAGAGTACCAGCAAATGTTTCTATGCATGTACACAGTGAACTTATGTACATTTCTCACTAGCACAGACGGTGTTTACAGATACTCTGGATAGAACAGGATGCAGTTAGGTACATCTTTATTTTGACATAGCAACAAGTTTGATTTTCCAACCACATTTAAGCTGCTTTGTTGTATTTGTCGACTTCTGATTATAAATAGGTCTGTTTTTTGTGGTGTTGTGCTATTTCTTACCCTTGCTGTTAGCTGGCTTTGGTCACTTCTGAACTGGCCTGTTGATGTTTTTGTTTGCAGATCACTTCAGTTTTGAAATAGGCACTCCCACAGGCGCTATTTATGATTTGCAACCAGACGCTAAATTACACTTGATAGTAAATCTGTCCCAGAAGATGCTCCTTTTCTACCCAATACTGACAGAATGATGTGTCACCAATAAATCTGCTGGTAGCAGAGTCTTCCAGAAAGGTGTTTGTTTTTTTAAGTTTATTTGACCTTTATAATGCATTAATTGGATTAAACTTTCAATGTAGTAAATCGGTTGATCAGCAAAGACCAAATATTTATATTAGGTCATTTTATAAAACAAATAAGCCTAAAAAAAGAACTAAGAAAACAGTTCATCTATGTGTTAACATCAAAAATCATGTTTGTAAAATAGTAGTTATTCAATAACATATAAAGTAGAATAAAATTTAATTTATATTCAGTTTAAACGATTGGAGTGTCAAGTCCCCATGACTTTTATTTTCATAATTTATAGGTGTGCATCATAAACAATCAGGTTTTCGGTGTTCACTGTGACACAGATCATTTTTTAAAGACAGTGTTCTTTTCAACTTGGGACACCACAAAAACTCAGCTCTTCCTGAAGCTTTTTCATCATGGCATTTCTTCCCCTTTGGACTTCACGCTCTTCTCATCCACATCTTCAATTTTCTCCCCGTCGTCTACATTTTCCTCCCTAAATCAGACATTTTGGGTTAGAAAATGCCTATATTGTAATTACGTCGAACTTTTACTTGGCTCTGGTGCTTTTTCTCTGTTCTTTGCCGACTGCAGGGAGAGCTCAGAAAATTATGTAATATAATATGACCAAACCACATAAAGTCCTTGGCTCTCAGGCAGCGGTGTTATTCATATTTTTACCGGATGCAGTTGAACTTCACAAAGCAGAAACAAAGCTTGCAGGAAAATCTCTGTACCTGTTTTGGGTTTCCTCTTCAGAACCGTGGCTAACTGTATCGGTGTCAGCTTCATCTAGTATGAACGATTTTCCAGTTTCTTCAACAAACTGCTCTTTTATACCGGCTTTCTGCAGCTTTCCTTTGTATGTCTGCTCTGCATGGACCTTTGCATTTTTCTGCCATAAAAAATTATTTTTACAATACAGAGCAAGCACATCATTTTTACTTTGTTTTAAAGTGTAAGAAACTTACCTGTTTCACTTGTTCAAACAAATAAGGTCTCTCACTAACTCGGGCTTTCATTTCTTGTAATTCTCTTATATAATCTCTCATTCTTTGTCGATCAGTTTCCCTTCAAGTGAGAAAAGATAAGAGTTTAAAATTCTGCTCCAGGGAAGCATGGCAGCTGTAATGTTTGATGCAGAAGTTGATAGCTGCAGAACTCACCGATGGCGCTGTAGATTTTCATTACATACGTCTTTCAGGCTGCTGTGGGGATCCAGCAACTTTGCATGAAGAACGACAGTCTTCTTCATTGCTTGGGATCTCATCTGGTAGCTCTTTAACCACTCTGTACTCTCTTGATTTTTACTTTCCTTCATCTCTATTGATTTTCTAAATTGATAAAGAAGAATAAATGGGATATCATTTATTCCTCTTTTTAGCTACTAGATAACAGATGTACTGGCTAACACAGCTTTACTACAGAGTCATGAAAACTCTGGAAAGCCTAAAATTTGGTTTAATCATGGACAACAAGATTCTAATTTTATATATTTCTTACATTTTCTAAAGGACACAGTTTCTAATTTGAGTATTTTTGGTTTGAATAAAAGTGGTACAGGCAGACTTATTGTTTTAAAACTGGGTCTACTTTAAATGTCAGAGCAAGAACTAAAACAGCTTTTTCCTAGATTTTCTTATTCCTCAACCAAATAACAAATGGAGAATAAGAAAGTCTTCTTAAGACCAAGAGTCCCATTTCACAATAAAGCTGATTTAGTTTTGTCCAGTTGGAAAAAATAGAGGTTTCAACGTTGATAAGAAATGTGTAGTAATAACACCTAATAATTATTCTCTTTAGCTTAAAGGAGCATAATTTAAGTCAAGTGTCCGAAATGCAATAAAAATATAGCAATTTGTGTTTGAATAAGTAAGGAAAAAATGTTAATAAAACTGTGTAAGAACCCAGTCCATAGATCTCACCTGATGGCTGCACAGCGCTGCCTTGCAGCATCTGTGATATACGTGGGTAGAGTGTCTGCAGATATCAGTGTTAGGGCTCCAAGCGACTTGCTCCTACTGAGATTATTCATTTTAGATACCTGCACAAGTAAAGTAAGAAGGAAACCTTTACTGGTACCTGGAAACAGCCAGGATCTGAGACCATCTGGTTGAAAACTAATGATCGTTATCGCATCAGTGAACTCAGAGCATATAACTTTGTTGTTTTTATTTCCCTAGTTATTTGTTTCTTAAACTATTAGTTTAATATTTAAGGATGATAACTAATCACCTTTGGAGTAACACATACAAGAAAGACATTTCCAGCAATAATTAAAAAGAAAACAAATGCAAAAATACAAAGAAATATTTCCAGAAATTTGAAAATAATCCATTGTAAGCAAAACTACATATTCCTGTGTTACCATGATGGAATTTAAAGGGGAAAAAAATGATTTTTCTATTTATAAACATACCCTCTGTGCCTATAGAAGTTTTCTGTACTTTTTAAACTGATTTTTTAGGTTAAATCAAGACAAATTTACTTAAAGAAATTAAGCAAGAACGTTAGTGTTTTTATCTAGGATTTGCTAAGCAGGCAGTATTGCTCAGTGATCATAAAATTAAACCACAATATGTAAAAAGGCTTGCATCGCAACAATTCAATTTTAATCACTTCCTGCAATTTTGCTCATTTTTGTAAAGTGCTAATATGATCATATCCCCTAAAAGCTGAATTTCACTAAATCTCCAGCTAAATACACAATGATTGGGCATAAAAAGCAGTTTTTTTATTTACATTAAAGTTAAATGAAATTTAACTCTATAATTAATAGATAATGTCTAGCAGTCATTATCCTAATTTCTCAGCTTTTGGAGATCGCTAAGACATTCTATATCTCCACAGTCTAATATTGTCATGTCAAAGACATTGAGTAATGGCTACATATTTTGTCTAAATGTATTACTCACTTGAACCAAAAATCTTCTTTTTTTTTATTAAATATATATTTGGCTTAATTTTAACCCCATAAGTAAGGGGGGTTTAGATTGAAACGCCTCAACATTCAACAAAAACTAAAGAAACTAAAACTTTTCATTCATTTTTAGGCATTTAACTTTTTGCTTCCAAAATAAATAAAAAAGAGGATTAAATTTCATGAAAAACATGAGCCCATATTTAGTAAATTGGAGGTAGGAAGCATCTAGAATGTCGCAAACTTATTATGCAAAGAAAAATGCTATGGCTTGAAAACATAGTGGGTGGATTGGTTTCAAACTATCCATCAAGCAGAGAAGGTGTGAGAATTGAAAAAATAAGTGGCGCAAAACTATAAGATGGAACCATCTGGTGTGTTGAAGGTCCAGAAGCCCTCTGCTTTTCTGGTTCTTCTTAAACATAAACCTTACAAGACAAGTTTGTTTTTTTCTACTTTCAAGGCTGAAATAAATGACTTTAAACAATGTTTGATGTCATATTTTAAAATATTATTTATTTTGTTTTAATTCGCCTAAAGCAAGCACTCTATAATATTCTTTAAAAAAATGAATCTAAATTATTAAATTAATTCTCATTGACAAAAAAAGGATTGTTTTCTTAAATGCATTTTACCTTTGATGTCTCAGAACTCTTCATGTGTTTCCTTGCAGGTAGAGCTGATGTCCTCAGGAAGAAGGGCTGACACTTTGTCGCTTCCTGACCCTGCTTTTTCTCCAGTGCTTCCTTTTGCAGCGCCTTGTGCAGCCTTTTAAAATCTGGGACTTGAGGGATGATTTTTGGCTTGAAGGTCGGCTTCTCATCCAAGAAACCCAGCTTTTTTTTTCTGCTGTGATCAGCGCTGTGAAGTTTCAGGCAGCTTCCAGCCTGAGTCTGATTCTGTTGCTTGGACAATATTCGTTCCTGGATGTTTCTGGGAATATCCAGCTGGCCTGTACAGAGATTTAAGCACCATCACCTGCATGTCTCAACAAAATGTAAATTAGAGGTCCTGCACAAATTATTTTGTTATTCTTAGCATAAAACACAAAGTCTGAGTAGAAAACTGTGCATAAAATACCAAAGAGAAAACTGAATTTGTTGTTACCTGCCACTACAGGAATCCTTCCTCTTATAATAACTTATATTTCTATTTATTTTTTAGGTTTATCTCCTTAATTACACAAAATGTTTGAATAAAAATGTAAAACATTATCTAATTATGGTATTAAAAAACAAAAGACAAGCACTTATTATTTATATTGCTGCTATAATAGTATGCCATCTCTATTATTATTTTTATCAACTTTTTTAAATGACAGAAATATAGCAATTCAATGTTGGCTCCTTGTTTAGTAATTTTATTTCTATTTTTTTAACCTTTTATTTTACCAGGAAAGAAATCCATTGAGATATGGAATCTCTTTTACAAGAAGTCCTGGCCAGGAAGTAAAAAACCAAAAGGTACAAGGTGCAAACAAGGTATTATATTAACATCAACATTATCCATAAAACAGTAATGTTAAATAATTTAAACTAAAGCTTAAAGAAATAAAACATAAAACACAATAGAATATTTTTTTAAAATCCTCCTTTGACCAAATGTTACAGGTTTAAGAAGTGTTTAACCTGTCTGACAGTTTTTGCTGGAAACTAGAAAAAGTAATAAGAAACTTCGGCTTGAGCTGCAGGTCATTCCAAGACCATGAGCCAAAACAAGATAGTCATTTTTCCTGACTCTGTACGCACACAGGGTACCTTAAACCGCAGCCAGCTACTGGACCTGAAACTGTCTGTGTTCTGGAGAACAAAAAAATCTGCAGTAAATAATAGGGTGCACCGATTGATCCGCCGGCCGATTTATGAGCCTCGATTTCCTTAATTTTGTGAGATCAGGTTGATAACAGATGTGAAACTGACCTTTCCCACAGATCTTACCTACCTGTGCAAAGCTCTGAAAATCAATGCTCTATACTTCTGTTTATATTTGACAGCGGTAATTTCAGATTTATTTTATCTTTTCATGACTATTGATTAATATATTAAATAAATTAAAATATTTAAGGGGTTTTGTGATCTTACAACAACTGACAGTATCGGTTATTAAAAAGAAATCTGTATCGATAAAAATCGGGATTGGCATGTCAGGATTTTTAAAGATCAGGAATCGGTGATAATAGGTGCACCCCTAGTAAAAATATGATGGGTATTTTTGCTAAAATCTGCTCGAGTACCTGGCTGCTTGTCAGATAAATTGGTAGTAACTTGCTTACAGTTATTTTAAAACAGTGTTGAGTTTGAGATGAGAACTATGGCCGCATGGTATATTGGAGATATTGTCATCGACATCAGTTCTGGTAATATTTATAAAAGCAGAGTTGTAGGTAAATGCGACATTTGTAGGCTTAGGCATTTGAAGTTTCCATTAATAAACATGTATTCCTATTAGACCAACCCTCACCTGATATTAACCCATGTTAAAATCTACAAAAGGCAAAAAGTCACAAAGATACAGAAGAGGATTAGGGCCACTGAAAAAAAAAAAAGTTCACTGATTTTGAAATTTAATTTCAGTTTAACATGGGGGAAAAAGTCAGAATTCTGACTTTAATCTCAGAATTTTGTCTTTTTTCTTAGAATTCTGACTTTAAACTCAGAATTCTGACTTTTTTTTAGAATTCTGACTTTAAACTCAGAATTCTGACTTTTATCTCAAAATTCTGACTTTTTTCCCATATTAAACTGAAATAAAATTTAAAAATCAGTTATTTTTATTTTTTTTTCAGTGGCCCTAATCCTCTTCCGTACAGAGAGTATCAGGGAGAAAGGAAAGAAAAATGTGGATTTACTGCTGAACATTTTGTAAAAACAATATTTTGTATTTATAAAGTTGCATAAATGGTTATCCGAGGGACAATCAGGATTTTCATGTTTATAATATGTATTTATTTTTACTTTTGGAAATTTCTATTTATTTTACTGGCAGTAATATATATATCTTCAGGTGGATCTTTTCAACAACAAAAAAAAGCCTAATGTAACCAGAGATCATGTTTGCATGGTCTCTTTAGATTTGACACATTAGAATATAGAATTTTTAATATTCATGCTTAGGACTTTTTCATGTCTTTTCTCATTGTTTAACAGTATGTGTCACAAAACCAAATTATTACAGGAAAATAAAGAAAAACCCACCTTTCTGCGGTCTTGAATCCTTAATAATTTTATGAGAAGTTTTCTTAACACTAATGTTGTTTTTTGGATCCTCAGAAACCTGGTTTAATATTGCTGGCACCTTCTCCCTTGTTTTCTTGTCCCTCTGCTCAAAGCTAAAAGGTTTCTGAATGGAGAGCAGGAACTCCTTTCTCTGCTCATGGCCCTCTTTCCTCTCTTTCTCTCTGAGCTCCATCATCTCCTGGTAGATGGGCTGAATGACACAGGTGGGGACGGGAGCAGCGCTGAACTTCTTCTTGCATTCGGCCTCAGCCTCCTCATCTCTCTTCTGTTGTGTTGTTTTAGATAAAGAGCACCTTTCACACTGCTGAGTGCTGACATAACAGTGCTTGGGATTTGATGAAGGTAGCACAGAGATAGAAGACATATTAGGCCTCTGTTTTCCATGGAGGGAGGCCTCCTTTTCTGACTTCAGAGCAGACACAAGGGTGGACCTCCTTCCTGCAAATCTGAAAGACATTAGAAATAAAACATTATTTATTCCTTAAACTATCATTTTCAACAAAATAACCAAGTGTGTTTCACATACACTTACCTTTCGATGTCATCATTTAGATTTGTATCTGTTAATAACAGAGTGTTCCAATGAATACTTTTATCGAGCTCCTCTGTCTGTCTCCTCTTCATCTCCTGCAGCTGCTGCTCAAGGGTCTTTCTCAATGTCTTTAGGTTAGCCTTAAGCACCAGCTCGGATCGAAGTCTTTCCTCTAGCAAATTGTCACATACTGACATTTTTGTCCTGAAAAAGAAACCAAAAAGAAAACAAAGTAATAAAAGTTGAATAACTGAAAATATAGAGATTTAATGAAAATGTTAAGGAATATAAAAATACATAGACTGGCAATAAGCAGGGATGCGCAGCTATCATTCGCTCATACCTTAAACTGTCAGATTTGACTTTTAACTCAAGGCGATCATCGAACTTTGATGGCGTTAAATTTTTGAAAGTATTCATGCACTGTACACAATTTCCCCCTTCTTCAATATTAAAACATCAAAGTGTTTTATTGGGATTGTATTTAATAGATTAACTTAGAATAGAAAAGATGGTAAAGGGAAAGAACGGAAGCATTACGGTATTTTTAACGATAGATTCTGAAAAGCTTGAGGTTTGTTTGAGCAGAATGTAAACTTGTAAGCCTGACTGCAGCTCAGTTTAACGAGTAGCCATCATGTAATCAGAAAGTTATGGGTTTGATTCCAGCTTCTGTCTAACAACATTTGGAGGAATCTTGTGGGCATAACACCGATGTGCCAACCAGTCTGTATGAATGTATAAAAAGGTTTGCATTAATACAATTATAGTATAAAAAACTAATGATCTTTATCAGAGGTCTTCAACAGGGGGTCCACGGAGGTACTGTATGGGGGTCGTGAAAGTTTTGGTTGATTAGACTTTTTTTTAAAATCCCCCCCTGCAATTTTTTCCACTAATTGAAATGGCTTTAAATCCACATTAACATGAATTCAACACACTGTAGTAAACAGATAAATGGAGGTAGAAGATGTCTTTGTCTTCAATGCATCACAGGAGCTCTTTCAAGCCGGGCACTGTTTCATTCAAAACACCTGTCCCATCAACCAGGAATCAGAATCAGAAATACTTTAATAGTCCCCGGGCGAAATTGCTTTCGTTACATTACTCCATCTGTAATAGACTGACTATAGGACCAGTTTGATAGAACATATTCATTAACACACGTTCTACAATATATATAATTAGGGGGTCCCTGCTCCATCTCGCTATTAGTTTGGGGGTCCTTGGCCTGGAAAACATCGCTGGTCTACATAATTAGGAAATGTAAACATCAGTTTCATGATTTGTAATTACTACTAATCTCAACCAAATGCCTTTCGAAGATGACAAATTAGTCAATAAAATCTTTCTATAAATAACATACCCTTTTTACAAAGGAGCCACCAGACAGGTAAGAATCAAATGTGTTTGAAGGATGGTGCAATTAATAAAAAAATTATATTTTTGGAGTAGCTAGAAATCAAACATCTAAAAAAAAGAGAAAAAGGCTTATTCCCTTAGCTTATTTGTATAAGGGCAAGAAGGTATTACTGGAAGAAAGCAACACCTTTCATTTTGTCAGGATGTGATAACCTATAAGAGAAGGTGCTCCGATTAGATAAGATTTAAATATTACTTTTTGGCCAAAAAAATAAAGTGCTATAGCACGTGCTATCATTATCAACCCAGTAAAATACGTTTTTGGTTGCAAAACAAAGAGTTGAGAGCATCTACTTTTAAAAGAGATATAATCTATTTTTTTCTCATTTGATATATTAATTGATATTTACTTGATATTGGTAAATTGTTTTGGTTATGTTTTCTTCCCAGAAGCTCTGATCAAATATAATATGTTAATTCATATAAGAGTTATATGTGTCAATTATTCAAAGCCAACTCTCAAAAAGTCCAGCGCGCGGCGCTATTTCTGTTTATGCTACCATGGCAACAACGCATCAGCGCTCTCAGTGAAGTGGGACACCTATTTCAGTCTACAGCAAATTTACGTTCCTTTGTTATTTACACACACACACACAAAAGTTTAGGCGCTCCAATGCATCATAAACGGGTAAAATAAAAATACTGCCATTAACTCAAAAATTAGCAATGAGCTACCAACCTGGAAGTACTTTATCGCTGTCGCGGGCGTATTATAACTTCATGAAGGTATTCTACAACTGTCTATCGGTTAGGTTATGAAATAAAGCTATTTTTAACTTGCTACAAGCAAACCAAACGCATGTTTGGAAAGCATGAGCGTTGTGTGCGGAGAGACGCCCCGGAACGCAGGAAACGTAAGCAACGTTCATTCTGATTGGCGGGAAACCCGGAAGTAGTTTTGCTGGAGCGCCTGCTTGTCAACACAACATGGCTGGATTAAACAGAGGACGCAGCTGCCTTTATTAGGACACATTCAAGGGGACACTTTCTCTGTGCTTTGTGTATGACGGCTTTTAGACTCCAGAGCTGAACTGTTTGATTTCGTTTAATGTGTAAAATAGACTGAATACAGAATAATGCACAAGCTCACAAAGGCGCCACTGGCCCTAAACGGACTGGGTCGATGTTTCATAACAGAGAAGCACTTATCTGGTGTAAATATAATCAGGAGAGGACTGGTATGTTCGGAAAATACGATAGATTCTAACAAAACCGAGGTATATGATGTGATTATATCCGGGGGAGGGATGGTTGGATCTGCAATGGCTTGCTCTCTAGGTGAGTTTGAATTGTTATGGTACTAATTTGGGATATGTGCCTTTTAAAAGATGCTTTAAGAAAGACTCATTTAAGGGTATCATATCCCTATAACTAAAAAAGTTTCAAACATATATTTGCAAAATATTATAATCACACATCCTGCTGCAGCAGCTGAGGGTTAAGCATATGTGCAGGCTGTCATTTTAATGCAGTGTATGCATATTTTTCATTTATATATATACTGTATTTAATAATCCTCCTAGGCATGGATCCCAACTTGTCAGAGAAGAAGATCCTGCTCCTTGAAGCAGGCCACAAGAAAGTTATGGACAGACTGCCTGACACCTACAGCACCAGAGTCAGCTCCATCAGTCCAGGATCAGCAACCCTCCTCAGCGGTAAGATGACAGTTTGACACCAAGGATTCAGCCTAATCTGACGTTTTATATGTTGTTTGACTCATTTGTAAATTTATTATAATTTTTTGTTCCACCAGAATTCTAATTTTTTTTTGTGGCCTTTAAATGGCCTCACATGGTAAGTTAGGGATCAGACATTCTGTTCCTCAGGTTAAGCAGGGATCAGTGTCAAGACAGCCAAAGGGTTTTTCCAAACGCTGTTGAAGATCTTTGTGAAGGTTAAAGTCAGGGAAAGTGAGATTCAAGGATTTAAATCTATTTAGGACTTGATACTTTGGTTGTCTTGTATCTTCACTCTTATAAAAGTTTAACAAAAATGGCATAATTTCAGGTTTTGTGTAGATTGCTGTTCAAATAGTCATTTGCATTTATCTTAAACAGCCAAAGGCTGCCTAACAAGACAAATGTAAACACAGTGTAAAAAGTTAAAGTTTCTGACAAAAGTGTTTTTCATTATACAACACATACAGTTATAGTTCCTCCAACTGAGCAGAAAGAAAGAACGTTACTTGCACAACAAAAACAAATCTAGCTGTGTGGAACTTTTTCAGTCATTAATAAGAGGTAAAGTCAAGGTCATGAACTGCAGGAACACCACTGACCACTAAACCTGATTTGGAATGTTATGTGTGACGTCTGTGTTGGTTCTTCAACTGACTGTAGGCTCAAATTAGGTTATTATCTCATAACCTTCTGATAATAGCCCTGATTCTGCTTTAAAGCAGCAGGTGCTGCAGGGATATCCACACATCTTTCTCCTTACAGGGCTCTCTATCTCATTCTGGAGCATCACAAGTCATTTTAAGGGATTACGGGATGTATAGTTCCTCTGCTGCCTGCGATGTGTTACAATAAAACCTCCTTCTATACTATATCTGGAAGTTATTAGAATATTTTAGCTGCAGGATGAGCACATGTGAGCTATTTGTGTGAAAAAAGAATACCTAAATAATTAATACGAATTGGATTATGTTATACATCTGGTATAAATATTTATGAAAACTGTGCTAAAGTAAAAATGTGATGTTTCTACCAAAAGTTATTGTGATGTGGGAACCCCATGACACCTACTGCCCCAACTTAAAGGATCTTCTCTTATTTCTTAGTTTCTTAGAGTAGTTGGAATCAAATCATTTTGGGCTGCAAGATTTCACTATAATATTTAAAATAAACACAGCAGCACACTGTGGAGGAATAAATGTAAAACACTGTTTAAATGTGAAACATTGACGTCCATGTCCTCCACTGGCATTTACGCAAAATGTAAAAGGTTAACCAATAACTTGTTTATGGAACCACTATCCTTCTGGCTTCTTACGAACAAACACCATGCAGTCATTTTGAAGATAAATAAAATATGTTCTACATCTCCACTTCTTTATGGTGTAGCAAAAGAAAGTTTTATGATTGTTGTAAAGTGTAAGCAGGGGTTAGAGAGTGTTGGCTTCAAATTTTAGCTTAATCATGTAGATTTTATAGATTTTGTATTTTTAGTAGCAGATTTTAATCATAGTATTTTTTTATGATGTAAAAATTATATTTTGCAGGTATTGGAGCGTGGGAGCACATCACCAGGATGAGATACAAACCCTATAAAAGGATGCAGGTATGTTTATTTACTAATCCTGACAAAATGTTGTTGACTTAATTTATGCAGGCATGTGATAAAGCAAACTTCCTTGGAAAAGTACTCATTAACTTGACTTTTTTCACATGTTATATTAAAACTACACATTGCAATGCATTTCATAGCAATAAACCAAAGGTCTCAGTGGAGGCTCTGCAGGTGGTCCAGAGTGGCTTTAGTGGGCTCAAAATGATATAGAACTGATATAACAGTTTTAAGCTACTTTAAACAACTTTTCTATGTATTTTTATGAAATATCTACATTTAATATCAGGAGGAGGGAGAGGAAATCCTTATCTTTTTGTTGATGTTTGAATTAAAGGTATAGTTGAGGTTGTTCTTTTTCTAGGTGGATCATCAAAATAAGTTGTCCTCCTAATTATCAATCATTCTGGTGATATGTTTACATAAGGCCGTCCTACGTGCTTGTCCCCATTTTAACCTAGCTGTGGTGAGTCTGAAATAGAGGGAAAATTGCAAATCTTTTAAAAAGAAAGCTTGTTTGAGCGATGCAAACAGAAACTATAACACAGAGCATACACATGCACGCTTTTGAAGGCGTTTAAAAGGCGTTCCCTCTTGGGAGCAGACACAGGGTTGTGCATGTGCATTTGTTTTTTTTTAAAGTAAATCCTCCAGTATACACTATACCGTTAAGTAAATACGATTGTCTCTTTATGCAAGTTTAGTTTAATATTTTCTTTATTTGAAGCCTAAATCAGTTCTTCACTTTATACATGTGTTACCATGAAGCTATGTATATATATATATATATATATATATATATATATATATATATATATATATATAAATAACTTTTTTTGTATTTGTATGTATACATTTTATTTAGTCAGATTAAGTGTAAAATTTACCCTTACATTTATTTCATAATGTAAGTGAGGTCTGACAGAGAAGACAACATAACACATATTTGTAAAAACAAAGGAAAATTATCATTTAAAACATTTACGTTCAGCTCATTACTTGGATTCTTATGAATTAGCTTCATGATATTATTAGTTCGTGCATAGGATTCACCCGCGTTCACAAATGCAGACCTTCTGGGTGGTGCAAAGTTTTTATAGGGAACTTTAATGAACAAATAGTAACTGATTGCTTATGTTCCTAGCTTCAACCATCTCACACAGCTGTTTAAGTCAGGCAACCATCGTCTTAGAATGTAAGCACTGTTGTGTAACTGCAAATCCACTAAGACCCACAAATTTATCACCTTGAAAGGAAGCGTGGTGGTAGGAGCATGATATTGTTGGGATACTTTCTTTTCTCTAGCAGAGAGAAGCTGGTCAGGGTGAGTAGATGGATGGAAGTGGTTCAGGAAGACCACATGATACAGCTTAGGAAAAGCAGTGTTTTGTTTCAGTCAGTAGCGTTAGACAGAAGATCATTTTTTAACAATACAATGACCCTAATTATGTATATAAGTTAGAATTAAATGTTTTAAATTAGATTATGTTAATGTAGTAAAATTGAACAGTTAAAAGTCAGATCTAAATCTGTGCAAGAGAAGATTTGATGAAAACTGTCCTTTTCCCAATGTCCAGCGCTTGTAGAGACATACCTGCAGAAGCTAACTGGGGCCAAAAATGCTTTTACCAAGTAATGACTCACAGGAGTTGGATACATGCACTCTTTTTAAGTTTTTTTTTTTTTTTTTTAAGATAAATAAACCATTTAATGTTTACCTTCCTCTTCACAACTTCCTCTTCAAAACTTTAAATAACTTAATGTTTTGTAATGTTACGAAATGTAAAAAAAAAAAAATTATGTGCTATATTTTTACTTTTACAAGGCTTTGATTATAACACTGTGCTGTTAATGTGTCCTAAGAATTTCAGATTTACTGGCACACTACATGTATTTCTGTCTTCCGTTACTCGTAGCACTGTACAATTAGTGGAAAGAAAAATCTGCGCCATTTAGCTTGTACTCATTCATTCAGATTAATCAGCAGGCAACACAATGAAGCATCATATAATCATGATTCAATATGTAATTGTTCACTTTAAAATAGTAAAAGGTGGTTTCTTGTAGTAGGCATTTCCTTCATTCCAATGTGCAATTTATGCCCCTTTCAGCTGCGTTGTTGCGCCTGTGGCACCCTAAATGCCAAAGAACCTGGGTTAAATTTAGGGCTGGATGGCCCTCTGACTATGCAAGTTTTATTTATTAAAACCATATTTGCAATAAAAAGTAAATCATTTTGATATTTCAAATTGCTACCTCCTCTCGCCAACTTTTAATTATGAAGATTCATGTGAACAACGTGGAGAAGATGAAAGATTAGGAGAGTGGTTGTTTGCTGCAAAGCTAACCCACTTTACGGCTGAGGGCGCAGCCTTGGTGCCTCTTGTCAGATGTGGTGGCTGTGTACCAAACACTTGACCGCAGGGTTTCTCTTTGGGCCCAAGATGTCATCATGCAGTGCCTTACAGTGATTATGGTAGTGTACCTCTCCCATTATACCTTCACTCTTCTACCACTGTTTTGGCTTGTTTGCCACTCAGATTTCAGTCATATACATGTCAACCATAGAGCTGGAAAATATGCAGCGAAGGTTGGCTCTAAATAGTATTCTCTCATGCTGCTAAAAATCTTCCTTTAATCTCAACAAGGCACTTGAGAATTTTACGCAGGATGCATGTGGAGTTTTTCCCACATCTTGTTCTATAAAGTTCCAAAGAAGAATATTGTCTGAATCTTGCACAAATACCGTAGCATAACTTATTCATCCCTAAAGCTGCATCATTTCACCAGCATTTAACAAAACCAAAACAATTTTTGGGCTGGTCTCAGTAAATCTTTCCTCCCAACCACTTATCACAAGTTGCAAACCAACTACCATTAGTGGTTTTACTCTGGGGTATATCCCCCTACTTTATGGCAAGTTGGGAAAAAAGCATTGCAGCAGCATATTACTGCAGAATGGTGGGGTTTGTCACCATAGTCACCGTCCAGGAGAGGATTAACCTCGTACAAACCCATTTCACACCCTTGTGTTAGACTCTTACAGGGTTGGATCAACATTAGCTTAAAATTATGTCTCATTATGCTGCTTTTGGGTTGTGAATAAATATTGACTTACTATGAAACCTCAACAAACATGTCATATTTTATTTGTGTTTCCCTGTTGGTGTTTGACAAAAACAAACCCACATCAGAAATGTAATTTTGGTCCTCAGCCCCACAGAGCTCCATTAAGGTGAAGTCAGCCGTCCATCTTTACGATAACCACTAAGCCTTGAAGCTTTGATGTGTTTAGCTCAATGAAATGCAATTTCTCCCCCTCCAACTGTAAATAGAGAATAGAAGGGATGTGTTCAAACATAGACTTTTAGACCGAAGGCGTAATGACTCTCTCATTTAGGTTTGGGATGCCTGCTCTGATGCCCTAATCACGTTCGATAAGGAGGACCTGCTGGATGAGATGGCATATATTGTGGAGAATGACATCGTCGTGGCTGCAATCACTAGACAGCTGGACACGCTGCCTGGTACGTACACAGTACAACAGAATATAATAAGTATTAAAAACATTAAGCAAAAACATTTAATATTGAATTCACATCAGAAGTCTGGATCAATTCATACTGCAAAAAGAAAATTCATACTGGAAAAGACACAAATGAATCCTAGAAAGTAAGCTCCTGTATATAGAGGAGAATATCACAAAAAAATAAAATCTTAACACAATGTTTTGTGATACTAATTTGATGATAAGCATGACGATATTAAAAGATATTATTTGAGAATGAGCATATTTAAAATTGCCTTTGACAGGACACCAGTTACATAAAGAAGTATGATTTATTTCACTGAACGTATTGTAGTTTCCCCATTTAGTAATGTTCTTCAAATTTGTCTATGTCCCAACGGAAAAGGCTGAAAGAAAATAAAAAAATAGTATAGATAAAGATTCGGACAATTCAAAATAATTAGAAGACGTTTGGAAAGATCCCTTACAGAAGGTTTCACAGACACCTGGAATTGGCAGAAACAGTTTTTTTTATGAATATAATATACAAAAAACAATTAACCATTATAGCTGCAGAACACTCAACTGCCGAAGAACAACGCCTGTTGGAGCCTAGCTAAAGTTTCCAGTATTTGGAAAAACCAACAGAATTCTGGTGGAACATACTCTCTGATTAAGTAATAAAAAAAAAAAAAACATTAAGTCTAAGATGTCTTTGATATCTAAATTCATTAGTGGTTTTAGCTGATCTAAATAATGCTTATTTTCATTCCCTTTAAAAATTATACTAAATATATACCTTAATTGTGGGTTAAAATGTCAGTTTGATAGACTTTACTTGGCTAAACTGAGACAAGGACTGATCAACATTGAATATATATATATATATTGAAACAAAAAAGACATCCACACCAAAATCATCCAACAGTGGTTTAGAGGTGGCGACATGACGGTCTGTCTCTGAACTCCTGAATAGGATACTCACAGATTTAAATCCGTTGGAGAATGATTAAAAAGAGACATTTTTGATAAGAGGCTAAAATGAAACAAGGGTGGAAGCCTGGCAATGCTCTAAAACATCCAAGGAAATGCTCAACTGGATTTAGAGAACGAAAGAGAATATTCTAGATTGAACCGACTTGAACCCATGTGAAAAACTCTTGTAAGAACTACATAGAGGAGTTTTTTTAAGAGCGTTGGTTAGATGTTCAGAACAGATCAATGCATGGATTTACCACCATTTTTTACAACTCAATAAAAACAAAACTGAGGTAATAATTGTTGGAAGAGCTTCAGCTGCTACAGCTAGAAACCTGATTATAGCTGAAATCTTAATGTCAGGATGGACTCAGACCTGAACTTTCAGAGGCACATAAAGTCAGTTACCAGGTCAGAGTTTTATCACTTGAAGAACATTTCCAGGAATAAAGGACTAATGTCTAAGCAGGGTCTAAAAAAACTCCTTCATGCATTCATCTTTAGTAGAATTGATCACTGCAACAGTGTCTTCATAGGTTTGCCTAAAAAGTCCATCAGACACCTGCAGCTGATCCAAAACGCTGCTGCCAGTTTCCTCACTAGAACTAAGAAAATAGATCATATCAGCATAGATCTGAAGACCTTCCACTGGTTCCCTGTAGCTCAGAGAATAGACTTTAAAATCCTCCTGTTAGTCTATAAATCACTGAATGGATCAGCACCTCAATACATAACAGAATTTTTATCAGTGTATCAACCTACCAGACCACTGAGATCTCCTAGTTCAAGCTACACTGGAAAAAGGATCTAGAAATAAGTACACATTTCTTAAATTAAGTGTATTTACCCTAATTTGAGTAGGTAAATGATAGTTCGCCAATTGATTGAGTATTTTTACTCTTAAAATAAGATTAGATACTATGCAGTTGAAATGAAAAATGCAAATGTTCTTATTTCAAATATAAATTGTCTTGTTCCATTGGCAAAGTGTCTCACTTTACTCCTCAATTCACGACAAAAATCCCTTTAGAAAACCATTATTGTGTAGGTTTCAATTTTCTTGCAGTGTACTTTGCACTGCAAAAATGTTCTGAAAATGAGTAAAGCTTTCTGAAAATAAGTACATTTACCCTTAATTTGAGTAGGAAAATAAAATGATCTGCCAATGGAATGAACATTTTTTTACCCTTAAATTGAGATAATTGGATATTATGCAATTGAAATAAGACAATGCAATGGGGTTTTTTTTTTCTTATTTTAAATGTAAATTTTCTTGTTCCATAGGCAAAATGTCTCACTAACCTGCTCAATTCAAGAAAAAATACAGTTATTTTAGGAAAAACTATTTAGTTTAGGTTTGTGGACCAACTGCATTATTTGCTCTAATAACTTATTTTACTGTATGTCATATCTTAAATTTCTTTTATTCTGCTTTTATGTTCCTTTTGTTTTACTGTGTAATTCATTCAAAAAAACTTTGAATTACCTTTGTACTAAATTGTGCTGTAAAAATATACTTGCCTTTCCTTCAAACTTTAAGGACAGTTTTTGTAGAAAAATTAAGAAAAATCCCGCCTCTCTCTCCATTTAGAAAAATTACCAACAAAGGGTTTCCTGCTATGTACTACAGTAAATAACTAAAAATATAATTACTTAGAATAAAATGTGGAGATGTCTAATTCTTGATTTCCATGCATAAATGAATAAAATATGAATTTCCAAACAGTTGCAGGATTTTCAGCACTAATGGGCGTTGATTCTGGCATCGCAGGCATCCCCTCCTGTCCTCAGGTTTTATTTGTCTTCTCTCCCTGAGTGTTTTTAAAGACACGCTCCTGGAGCTGTCTATGTTTTGTTTTGGGTTTAACCTTAATGAAAACCTCACATTTTGGGAGCTGGAGGATCTCAACACCCTTTGAGAACACGTGCGTTGGTCCAGTGACCTATTTAAAGTTGCCGTGTGCTCCTGAGCTCTACCACCCCCCTGACACAGCCACTGACAGTATGTAGCTCTGTTGACATCTGAGCAAATAAAAAATCCAGTCTGCTGTCTTCTTGACAGTTTAAATGGCTTATTTATAAACACTTTTCAACATTTCACACCAAACAGCGGGCATGTGGCTGCGGCACGTTTTTTGCCTCATGTGCCTCGCATGTGTCCATGCTCTCATTTTAGCCGTTGCAAAGTTATGCTAAAGATGCAGTTACATGGGGAAAAAAGTGCGGTCCCCCAGCCAGCTGTTTTCAATGTAACCATACGTTCCAATCAGAGAAAACCCATATTTGACAACCGTGTTGCAGGAACCAGTAGCTGCTCTGCGGATGGGTCCTGATCCAAGTCAGCACGAGCCAAAATCCCTCCATGTGTGGGATGTCCAGATGCTGATATTTTGGGAATAGCTGCAGCTTTAGTGTAAAAATCTTAGAAGCTGGCAGCATAACCAAAGTTCAGAGTGGCGTGCTTGTAGATAAACACTATTAGTCTGTGTAATGCGGCAGGCCAAGGCCATTAAGAAAATTGTCAAATGCAAAGCTTGGCAGCTAACACGTGCCAGCCAGGAAAACCAGTGAAGTTTTATGGGGTGGTTTATAGATCTTTCCCCACTTTGGCTGCAAGTTAGCCATCCTTTCCTTTCATTTTTTTTTTTAGTAGCAAATTACTGATTTAGAAAGATGATGCATTCATAGAGCCAATTTTACTCCTTTTAATGTGAGAAACTCACGTTGTAAAGCTTTATTTTCAGTAACTGCTTTCTTTTTAATCCAAATATGCGTGTAGTCACATGCTTTGTGTTCGTGTTGTCAGAAAATGTGCAAGTTAAGTACAAGTCTAAAGTGGTGAAGTATACTTGGCCGATGCCTCATCACGCAGCCGAGTCCATCCCGTGGGTGAAGGTCACTTTGGCGAATGGAGAAACTCTTCAGACAAAGCTGCTGGTATAAATGGATTCACACAAACTAATGTTTTTCTTGTGCCCCACATTTTTAAGTCTCTACATTTCTTTTTTGTTTTGTGCAGATTGGTGCCGATGGGCCAAATTCAATGGTGAGGCAGAAGCTGGGAATACCTACAGTGAAGTGGAACTATGACCAGTCTGCTGTGGTTGCAGTGCTTCATCTTTCAGAGGTATTTGGTCTTCAATTGTTGTGTGAATTTTCTAAAGATGTTTGTGATAGACCAACATATAAACAATATAAACATGTATTTTTGGTAATGTTAAATATTTGCCCCCTTAAACAAAATGTATTAGAATCATTTTGTGGGTAAGTTATTCTCCAACTGCCCTGTGAAGGCATCAAGGTTTGTTAGACAACTTTAGTGACCAAGGATCATAGCAAACAGATCATAGGGGAAGCTGTGGGGAGGTTTAAAGCATATTTAGGCTACAATACAATAGCCCAAGCTATGAATATCTCGCACATCACTCTTATGTCCATCTTCTGAAAATGTAAACACTAAAGAGTCACAACAGCAAAGCCTCCGGGACGTGACCTGGTTAGCAAGGAGAGCATTGATCTTAGAGGCAGCAATGAGTCCCATGGTAACTCTGGAGGGACCTTTATGTAGCAGCTTTGGTAGGAGATGCAGAAAGTCCTTTGATTGGATGTGATAGAAATGTTTTTCTATATATAAAATCTTACATGTTGAAAATACCGCATATCATTGTTAAACACAGTCTTTTCTCAAGTAGGAAGACGAAAGTGTTTCAGAGTTTATAGGAAGCTGAATGTCACAAAACAACACATTTCTGAAGAAAACAATATTCAAAGGTTTACCTTCTAGCAGGATAAAGATCCTAAAAACACAACCAGAGTTCATATGGAATCAAAGTTTATGCACTAGAAAGGTCCAGTCAATGTCTGCACATAAATCCAATAGATAATTTGCTGGAAAACTTAGTATTCCTCTCTTTTGCACTCATGAAATCAGATCCATGCCAACTTTAAAGATTTATGTATCTAAAAATGAAAAGAACATTTAAAGAATCTGTCATGGTGTCCTGGAGGAGGCCCAGGGGGAGACCAAGGACACGCTGGCGGGACTATGTTTCTCGAGAGGCACGTCTGGGCCTCCCTACTAAAGCTTTTATTAGTATCACTTGTTTAAGCATTTTCTAACATTTTACTGAACAAAATAAGTAATAGAAAATGTGCATGATTCATGCTGATATCATATTAGGTCAATATACTGTAGGTATTGTATCGAAAATGCAGAAGCTCTATCTGGACACCCCTAGTTGTAATCTCCTATTATGTAAAAGTTTAAGGGGCATGAATATTGCTTTGCAAAGCTTTTAAAAAATATTAAAGCAAAATGAATACTTTGGTTTTTGTATTGCAGCCCACAGAGAACAATGTTGCTTGGCAACGGTTTCTCCCAACTGGACCCATCGCAATGTTACCGGTAAACTTTTGAGTTTTTTATTTGTAATGATTTCTTTTTAGGTTTCTATGTGTTGCAAACATTTGACACTGCCTCCCTCTTTGTGTACCTCTGTAGCTTTCTGACACAGAGAGCTCACTGGTGTGGTCCACAGGACATCACCTTGCAGAGGAGCTGCTGGAGCTGGATGAGGAGAGCTTTGTCGACGCTGTCAACTCAGCCTTTGTGAGTCTCGCTTTGATGTGATTTACAGTCAGGAATCAGGTCTGTTCATAAGAGATTGCAACATTTCTGTATTTTTATGCAAGGACACCTGTATGCTGACCTGTTTTTTTAATGACTCACACAAACATCTCGGTTGGAGTTTGGGCCAGATAAAATAATAATAATTTCCCTGCAGGAATGATATACCTATGTTTGTTTTTCTATCTTTGGAGAACCTCCGTTTTCCCAAGCTGGCTATTTTTACTCGGTCTGCTGATGGATAGGGTCACCACGTCTGAGTCACGTTCGGTTTCAGGCCTGGTTTGCTAATTAAACCTGTGGTCTTCCAGTGTCGACCATTACTGCATGGAATGTTTTTCAAATGGAGCTAATTCAACTGCATTGCCTGGCCAGCATCTTCTTTTAATTAGCCCAGCTCCCGAGGCCCTGCCAAACCAGTTAGTTAGGAAGGAGGGAGTGGGGAGCACTTCAGCTGGCCTGAAGTTTGCTTTACTCCCTGTGTCAGCTCGATTCTCCGTCCACTCATGGGAACAATGTCTTCTTTTTTTTTCTCCCTCTCTCTCCAACTTTTCTGTGTCTGTGTGAACGTGTCCATGGCAGTGGAGCAATGAGAACCAGTCAGACCTAATTGAGACAGCCGGCGCTCTGTTCCGGGGCGCACTGTCGGCCATCATGCCATCAGAAGGTTCACCGCGGCAGCTTCCACCCAGTGTGGCGGGGATCGGGCCAAAGAGCAGGGTCATGTTCCCGCTTGGAATAGGTCATGCATCAGAGTACATCAGGCACAGGGTGGCGCTCATCGGGTAAGATGAAAACAGTCTGCACGTTACCGCTTCAGATCTGGGAAAAATATATCCTTTTCAAGTTTGCTTTTTCAAAGTTTGCTCCCACTTTTAGCCCATTTCCTGTATGAAATCATTAAATATTGACTGTCCATGGAACAGCATAATGAACATATCAGTGTGTTTGTGCTTTCAGAGATGCAGCACATCGTGTCCATCCGCTGGCAGGTCAGGGAGCCAACCTGGGTTTCGGGGATGTGGCTTGCCTCACACAGCTCCTGAGCCAGGCAGCTTTTAATGGGAAGGACCTGGGTCAGTGACAACTCTAAACAGACTTCAAGTGGTTTGCTCTGAGCTGGTTTCCATGGCCGCAGAAACACGCCATGTTGCTCTAGTCTTTGAAAAAAGGCAGCAGGTTTTTTTGGCAGTTCAGTGATGCAGGAGAACTTGGTCACTTTCCTGCAAAAACAGAAATTATTACTTGAGTTGGACTTTTTATTATTAAAAACTTTGGGTCAGAAGAAAATATTTACTGGAATCGCAAAATATTTTCTTACTAAAACAGTTAGACAACTGTAGAGAGTCAAAATGGAAATACTCTCTACAGTTTTGATCAAAGCTTATTTTTATATTACACTGATCAAGTCAAAGTTCAGACTTAATTCCAATTAGAGTAAGAGTTTAAATTAATTGCTTACTGATGCTCTTTGTGTAGTCCGACTAATACTGAGCTAACTGCAAAGGCAAAATGGCCAAAGAATTCAATTACCAGATGGACTAAACTGGTAAAGATTTAATACAATGGTTTTACAAAATATTGACGCACATTTAGAGCTAAAACAATTAATCAGATAAATCCTGATTGACTGATTGCTAAAATAATAGTCAACTAATTTAGTAATCGATTAATCGGTAACTGGAGTGTAGAGACTTGCTGAAAGATAAAAACCCACTTCAACAGAGCAACAATTATACCAGAATAAAACTTAAAAACATGTAAACATTTTGCATTTAAGATAAACAAGTGTTGTCCATCGATACGCTATCATGAACTCCTAAAGTGAAATAGTTTATTTTCCACGTGGTTGAAATTTTGACAAATATCTGCTTTAATGAGCCTTTTGCTATCCGATAATTACTCGATTAATTAGAAAACTAATCGAATATGAAAAGAATCATTAGTTGCAGCCCTACTCACATGATTTATTTTTCCATTCTGCAGTAATAAACTAACAGCATGCTAAAGATTGTGGTTGTAAGTTGATCAAATATGAAGAATTTATTTTGGTGTGAATATTTTTCTAGAGCAGTCTAACGGCAAAGGGCCGAAATAAGGAGCACCCTCATTTTTAAATCAATCAATCAAAGCAAATAATTATAATTATACACCAAACAATAAAAACTGTGTGTAAAATAACAAGCCTCCACCTGCCTTAAAAATAGTTTAATAAAAACCTCATTCTATTGGGTGTTTTGACTTTGTTTTCCCCACACAGGAGCAATACAACACTTGTTGGAATATGAGACAGAACGTCAGCGACACAATTTGCCCATGATGACTGTCATCGACCTCATGAAGCGTCTTTACTCCACCAACGCAGCTCCTGTGGTTCTCCTACGCACCTTCGGCCTGCAGGCCACCAACATGCTCCCGACTCTAAAAGTAAGCTTCCACACATCTGAACGGACCTGGTCTTTGCTCAGAGAGCATCCACCACCTGTCAGACCTAAAGCCCCTCCCACACCCGTGACCCCACCCTCCGCCCACTTTTCTGATTACATGGGACTTTACTGTAGCCGTGTCTATAATTTAAAGGACTCTGAACCTACTACTATGGCATCTAAGTTTAGCCCCAAATTTAGTGTTACCAAAAGTGTGTGGGTGGGGTGCACGGCTGGCCCTGAGGCAGCGGACAGTGGTGTTGGCTTGCGTTTTCACACTCCTTTTTATTACTGACCGCTCATGTGAAACGGCTTTATTTCCTACTAAGTGATTCAGACCGACACAACGGTTACTGCTCAGAAAGGCGTTTCACTATGGAACCACTGAGTTAAAAGAGACATTTTTTCCATATTAAAGGCTCCTGAGTTCACAAGTTTACAGATCTTGTTTAGGCAGCAGCACTTCTAACACGCTTCTCTAAAGCATATTGTATTTTTATTTTCTAGGAGCAGATCATGGCATATGCAAGCAAATGATGCACCTGCAGGGAAGCTCTCATCAGTGGATCTTCATTAAACTCCTAGCTTTAAAAGCTATTAAGATTCATTTTTGTCCATGTAAAAATGAAATTAAAAAACCTCTTTATTTATGTCTTCTTGTGTTTTTTTTTTAAAGTAAGTTAATGAAATGAAAATTATTTTTTTAGTATGTCAATTCAAGATAAAACTCATGCTTAATACAATAAAAGCAGAATATACTGATTTATGCTTTAAGTGTTTATGCATTTTATACATTGCAGCTAATTAAAACCATCAAATTCAGTTTCTTGAAATAATATTACAGAAGAGCAATTTAACCTTTCTTTTTAACCTTCTAAAAAGAATGTCCATATCCTATACACTGCAAAAAATGTAAATCTAAATAAGTCATTTTTTCTTAAAATAAGTGCATTTAGTCTTGAATTGAGGAGGCAAGTGAGACACTTTGCCAATGGAACAAGACAATTTACATTTTAAATAAGAAAAAAGTTTCATATTATTATCATATTATTATTATTATCATATTATTTACTTACTCAAATTAGGGGTAAATAGGGCTAAATTTAAGAAATGTTTACTTATTTCCAGATCATCTTTGCAGTGTACAGTATGAACACCCAGACAGGTCTCCTTTTGCATGTATTACTGTAATATAACAGCATGCTATAGAAGCTATTAGCCATGGACCTGCTGAAGTTAGGGAAACCCACATTGCAGTTGTTAACTTTTCTGCCTTGTTTGGATTCATTTTTCATTATTTAACCAGGATTTAACCATTGAGATTGAAAACCTGTTTTTCAGGGGAATCCTGGACAGGAGGCAGCAACAACTAAAAACCAAAGTTACATTCTTATAAAAAGAGGCATATTATGGAAGAAAAGGTAAATTTTTTTAAGACCACCCTTGAAAACATTTAGTATGGAAGTAAAAGCACCCAGTATGAGAAGTTGATATTAAAAGAATGATAACGCAAACATTTTTGTCTTGTTTCAGTTTGGTTCGGTCTAGATTGGCTCATTTAATTTCTTTTTTTTTTGACTGGTTTGATCCTAGAGCCAGGTTGCAACAAAATGGAGGCTTGCATGATATGCAGAAATTCTCTCATTCAGCAGTTTTCTAAGGGTTTGGTGTCTGGTCTTCCTCTTGACAACAGCAACGCCTAAATCATCAGTATCTGTTTTATGTGCCTCTCTGCGCATCCTCTAGACCAGTGGTCTCCAACCCTGGTCCTCAAGATCTACTGTCCTACAGATTTTAGGTGCATCCCTGCTTCAACACAGCTGAATCAAATGATTAATTACCTTTTCAAGCCATTCATTTGATTCAGCTGTGTTGAAGCAGGGATGCATCTAAAATCTGTAGGATAGTAGATCTTGAGGACCAGAGTTGGAGACCACTGCTCTAGACCAAGCATCCCCAAAGTCGGTCCTCGAGGGCCACTGTCCTGCAGGTTTTAGAGGTTTCCCTGCTCCAGCACAGCTGATTTACATTGATAGTTGATTAACATGCTTTTGCTGAACTGCAATCATCAGAATCAGCTGTGCTAATGCAGAGAAACCTCTGAAACCTGCAGGACAGCGGCCCTCAAGGACGACTTTTGGGACGCCTGCTCTAGACTCTGAAACATCATCTCTAAATACATTGCACAGCTTAATTTCATCTTAAAATAGGTTTTTAAACCATTATAAAAAATATTTCTCTCATGTTGCCCATCTCTTGGATCTGTCTATGTGCTGGATCTACAAATGCTGACTTTAGTCTATGATACCTTGACTTTTTCCTGAAAAAGTTCTGCTTCCAAATCATCTCAAAGCTGCTATTTCTATGCTTTTACATCTTTTCTTTTCATCATTTTTTTCATTCGACTAAATTTTCCATTAAAAATTCATTGACACTGTATTCTAAAAAAGGACAACTTCCTTGATCTTTAGTAAACCACTAATGATCAGCGGCTTGTCCTGCCTGTAAAGGCAGTTTATCACTGTCCACTGAAAAGCTGAAAGATATTTCTTTCTTGTTCTTATTTTTATACTAAACTGATCTTCACATTAGCTGTTTGCCTTAATCATCAAAACGAGCAATAATAAGTGCTTGAAACCCCTTTGTAATAAACCTATTCATTAAATTTGACATTTTTAAATTAAATATTGAACTGTTCATTAATTTCATAACACACCCAGTATGACACAAAGCACATTTTTCACGTTTTATTAAAACATTGTCGTTTGGTTATTGTCACAACATTTATGAAAAACAAGACAACAATCAGACTTCAGCCTTTGCAAACTGACAAGTATTACTTGGTATTTGTGCGGCATGACATTTTATCATGTAGATGCATTTTATTGCAAAACAGTTTCACTAAGTTTACATCTTGTATGTACAGCAGTAGTAAGTGAATATGGTAGATAATGAAAACACGGCATACTGTATGAAGGCATTAAGAGCAGTAAGACAAAACATTACTAAAGATAATACAAAATAAGACATTTTCAACTATTTAAATAATGTACAATTCACAAAAAGTTAAGTTTCCAGGCATGTTTATGTAATTTGAGTTTATGTGTTCTTAAATGGCTGCAGATAATGATGTTGGACCTTCAGTGAGCGGGTTCTTTATTCACAATAGAATATGGTCCAAAACTCCTTTCATGCTGTTGAAGGAACAGACTATATTGCTTCACTCAACACAAAAGGCATTTTCCTATAAAATTTTGTATGTTAAAAAAAAAATATTACTAATAATAAATATGTACAACTCTGTAAAAGAAATAGAAGCAAATATGTTTTGTCTACAATGTTAAAGTGTTTTGTGCGACATTAAGGAATGAGCTGTTCATCTGCTCTGTTTCATATGATGTCTTACTTGTCTAATGGTAGGAGCAAATTAACTAGGCCACTGTAAAAAATAAAAAAGATTTATGGCTAGAATGAAAAGGACCGGTTTACAAGCATTTACAAAGACAATTGTGGTTGCGGCTCCAGCAATTAGTGTCTAAATTTATTCCACTGTTCTGCACAGCGCACACCAGGACCACAGTAAGCACCAAGATACCATGGCTCCTATCACTGCCTCCAAAGTTCCCCTCTGTACCCCTTTACACGGTCGCCTGAGAAACATTTCAGGTCTGCCACCCTTAAACATGTAAACGTTTTACAAAAAAATAAATTCAACCCACCAACGATGAGCTGGACATACAGTAGAAAAAGCTGGCCTTATAAAAATATAGTGATTTCTTGTTTTCTTTATAAAAAACAAAAAGAGTTCTTTTAGTGTTTTCAGGATACTGAGGTTTTGGGAAGAAGCGAGGACGGGTGGTCAGAGGAAAGGAGGCCACACAGTGACAGACTGTCCCTTTCAGTGCCAGCTATTGCAGCTAGTCTTGGTGGATGTTGAAGTTCCTGAAGAAGTCAAAGGTCGCTCCCAGAGCCCAGCTTGTCTCTACATTGTTTACCTTCTTGGCCAGCTGAGGAAAAAAAACGTGAAATAAGACTTACATATATTGGCACTTTTCTCAACCTTTGAATCCAGTACCAACAAGTCACTTACATGCAGCACAGTGCTGTCCTTGAAGCCAAAGCCTTCCTTTAACAGGCAAGTGATATAAGTCATGTCCATGCAGAGGAAGGGGCTGATGGCGCGGTATTTGGTCATTTTGTTGCACACTGCAAATACAAAAAACACATATTTCATATAAGATATCAAAACATTAAGGGTTTATTCAATAAAGCAGTACATGGTGGACCTTTCTTTGCACTTTTTCATGATAACAGGATGACCTTTCTGTTTTGCTTGTCTGTGTACACAAGAAGGTGTGAGCAGTACAGCTGGGTGGGGGTCAACACAAGGCCGCAGGTGGGTGGTGTTTATGTGTGTGGGTGTGTTCCAGCAGTATGTATCTGCTAGGTGCCCTCCTGCCTGGGACCTGCAGACACCTTTAACTCAGCTGCCAGCCGAACTTGAGCTAGACTCGTTTCTTGAAACCACGTGACAGTGTTCTCACGACACAGAGTGTTATATAACACACCAGCTCATTTCTGCTGGTTATGAGGGTCTACATTGCATTGGTCAGAAGGTGGTGTTGATAGTCATAAAGAAGAATTAGAGCCATTTAGCTGTAATTTTGAAGCACGAACATGCTTCTTTAAACTTTGCACTTCTTGTCTTTTGCATGACATTTTTAACAAAAAAAAACAAACAAAAAAATATATATATATATATATATATATATATATATTACAAACTTGTGGTTCTCAAACCTTTCAGTTCATAACCAATAAATAAATACTGTGGGAAGAACTTATTTCCCACAGTACAGAGGGCAAAAGTGTGCAAACTGCTTATGATACACTGAAAATCACAAATGGGGTTCTTCAAGGCTCTATTCTCGAGCCACTTCTATTCAAGATTATATGAAGTAACATCTGTTAACATTCCTATGCAAGTCTATCACAATTTTTTTACCATGTTATATTACCAGACTCAGTTAGATGAAGAGTACAACACTAGCAAGACAACTATTAGAATTAGCTTAAAGTCCTCAGCTTAAAATCAGCCAACTGCCTTTTAAAAAAACATGTCCGAAATAGTTTCCTTTTAAAACAGAAAACTGATGTATGTTGTTTTTAGGTTGTCTTAATGGTGACTTATTAATACTAAACAAAGAAGGCAACTGCATCTTATTCACAATTTGGCTGCTAAGGTCTTCACCAACAGCTAAAAAATATATGGCAACCATTTCTAAACCATTGTACATCCTCTGTGTCTGTAAAAGCATAGCTTTTGAAATATTTGTTGGTCTGTAAGGTACTGAATGATCTTGGGCTTAAATACATTTCACAGTTAATTCTACAGTCACCTGAGAGCTTTTATAGCATTTTCAGGACCAAAACTAAACGAGGGGAGATTAAATTTAGGTTTTTAGATGCTTTAGATTATTAAACAATTACCTGAAAAATTGACTTTGAATTAAGGACAGTATAATTTGTAGAGATCATCTCAAGACAACCAACCCTCTTACCTTCTTTGGCTTTCTTCTTAAAGTCTCTGACTTCAACCGCACCACCTAGACTGCCTGGTGTGCAAGAAAACAAACGTGCAATTTAAATACCAACTTTGTGCAAGACATCATAATTAGCATAAAAGATAATGGCACCGGAAGGTGGCCAGCTGCTCTGTTCTCACTTACTGACGAGGCCGGTCTGCACAGCTCTGTCAAAGTAGTGGGAAAAGGCATAGAAGACGCTGCTTCCTTTCACTTCGTACGGCTGGTGAAAATTGCCCTTGACGACCCTCATGACCTCATAGTAGCACAGTTTATAGCCTGCATACCCTGTAGCAAGACAAGAAAGCAGCGGTTTAAAGAATGGTCTTCCTAAACATCAGGAGCAGTGAAGAAAGGAAGTTTTGGCCAAGAAAGATGGATGGAATGTAACTAGGAAAGCTGGAAGCCACAGCCCGAGGTCAGCGGGCGGATGAAACTCTGGGCTCACCAAACTTTATCTAAAGGAAAGCCCCAGAAGGACAAGTTTCACATGGCCCCATTGGATTTGTTGGTACAATTGTGCAGCAAAACCATGTGCTGACAAGAGTGACAGCTAGCACAGCCCCTTTGAAACACACAATCGAGACCAGGCCAAGATCAAACTGCTCTCTCTCCACAAAGAAAAAAAAAAGAAAAATTACTTCAACTCAGTGACAACCCCACATCTTTTGGCTACTTGACTGTGGTATGGGAGTGACTGCCTTATTTGTGAAGACCTTGTATTTCACTCTCATCTAAATACAAGGTTGATGACAGTTTTACTGCCAAAGTGGGAGCAGCAAGAGAGATAAGGCGACTAAACATGTGTTTGGTGCCAAGAAAAATTGAGCATTGGCTGATGCATGCTCTCATGTGAGACCGTATTGTACTGTACTCTGCTGCATTCCAAATGTTAGAGAAGAATGTATGGATTGTTGGAGTCAGGACAATGGGAGAGCATTCAAAACCTCATGGGGCTTTTATATTACCTCCTGGAATTCCGCTAACTTTATAGGTGTCTCCTCCAAATTTCACTTCTTCCCTGTATTTTTTTGGAAGGCAGGAACTAGTGAAGACTTTCCAATCCAGACCTGGGAGAAGCATAAACAACAAATATTTTACTATTGAAACTGAGCAGTTTTCAACACAAATGGTGGATACTAAATAAATAAAGGGTGTAAAAAGGTTTACCATCAGCTCCTAGCGCACCAAGAGTTGCCAGGCGGGCAGCAACTAATCCATTTCCCAGGTAGCTACATAAATATAGAAGATATTTATCATAAATTAAGTTTCTATACTTTACATATTATTCCTATGTCTGCCAAGTTATTTACCTGTGTGTGTAGAGTTCATAGGTTTGGTTGAACAGGTTGAATTTGGCAGTGAAATTGGGTGGAGCAATTTGAATTGTTTTCTGGTAGATCAAAGACAGATGTCAGTCAGTCTATGTTACAGGGTTTAAAATGTAACTTGGTTATTTTGGGCTGAAAATATTTTGCACCTTTGACTTTGGAAGGAAAGTGATCTGAGTTGATCCACCACCCAGATCCAGAATCCCTACTGTCCTCCTAGTGTTGGAATACAAATGGCCTATTGGAAACAAGCACAAGGAGAAAACAAACAAGTTTAATGGAGGATGGTGGGACTTCTTTAAGAATAAAAAAATATATATATATATATATGAATACATGGAACCATGCCTATTTTTCAGACTTTTGTATCTCAAAAATCTGGAAACCAGAAACCATGGAAGTGCTAAGCAAACTAATGGTAGAACACTGAAAAGCAAAGCTCAAAAATACTCTTTAAAATAAGAGTTGTTTTTTTCCCAAGAGGAATTAAAACTAGAGAAGTGCGTAAATTTCAATTCTCAATGGGCTAAAAATTGCAATGCTAACTATATTTAGCATATTTTTTAAATTAAATTGTACAGATACAATTTAAATTAGGAGACATACTTTATATGTTGGAATATCACAAGAGATTTTAATAACATAATAATTTGGGCATTTATGACATACAGTGCTCTTTCATTATTATACAAATGTAGGTTTACCTTTCAAAGTTAAACTCATTGGTTTTTCAAAATAAAATATTTAGATTGCAAAACGGACTTCCACATTAGTAAAGAACCTAATGGTATAAGGGAAAATTAAATGTGTTGGTGCAAAGATGTCCTGTTATTTATGGTTAAAGTTACTGCTATGGGCATACAAGCCCCACGTTGTTGTAAACCAGTAATTAAAGGCAATGAGATATTGGACAGTATGCAAAAAGTGACAGGCCATCATATCTTCTTCAGGAGTGTCCTAGTTTGAGTCAAAATTCAAATTAAATGTAGTCACAAGTATCAGTGTAATGATTACAACTGCATTAAACTTTATATTCTCAGATTTAAGGGAATATATGTTGCTGTTTCTTTTAGGGTCAAAAATACACCTCCCAGAACAACTGACACCAACAAATCAAAACTCATTTAATGCCTTACCTGTGAGGAAGTTCACTGTGACCCAGGCCAGGACCCCTGAAATCCCAAGCAAGGAAAATTTAAATACATAAGTCAGCCCTTTCTTTTTTTAAGGAGAATTAAGTACAGAATTAGGTGAAGATGCTGTTTGGTCATTGGTTTTAATGCTTTGACCAAAGCTTTTTGGATTTTCCTTTTTTAACAGTCTAAGTTCAGCTTATTAGAAACTGGCAAAATAAAGCAATACGTTTTCTTACCTTCATTTGCTCCATTCATGATAGAAACACTGTTCTCTGGCACAAAGAAAGGGGATTCTTCAAATACCTCTTGCACCTGTAGGGTTGATTTATCAGAATATAAGCACAGTTAGACTTAATGTAAGCAGAAAATGCATAAGTCATCCTATTTTCTTCTAAAAAGGTAAATATCCATTTACAAACAGTGAAGCCTGGTAGCCTGTTTTAGAGTGACACACAACTGAACCACAAACATGGCTGGAGCAGAAGCCTGGATAATACTTAAAATGCCAGATATGGTCGCTCCACATAACCCAACAACAGCTGTTCTTTGCTTCATGATAACCACCAAAAGGGCAGACTAGCTGCTGTTTCATTCAGTGTCACTTGTAAGCACTTAGTGGTTTTCTCATCCCTATCCATGGTTGGACGGCTGGGGTTTAAGCCGGGCTGTCTGATGCTAGGGTAGAAATGGGCCTCACCTCCTGTAGCAAGGCATTGGCCTTTTCTTGGGGCAGCAGGCGTAGACCAGCTGTGGCCCTCAGGACCACTGGCGTCCTCCTCCACTCCTCCTCCGGCACCGTCTTTTTGGCAATCTTCAGCAGCTGGCGGATGGTGTTCCCACCCTGAAAAAGCAAAAAATAAAATTGTTCATTTATAAATAAATTAAATGAATCCTTACATTTATGCATTTTTTTATTATTAAATCCAAAAGCAGCTGGTATTTTTGAAAATATGAACAGTTTAAATTATAGTGACAATAAGCAATTCCTTTTGTAGCACCAAATTATTCCTGCTGGCTAAAAAAAGTTTCTAATTTCTGTGGTCAAAAGCTTAGGCTGATCACCTTAAAGGGATTTTTTTATTTTGTTCTGGAGAGTTTTGATCTAGTCTGCTAAATGTGGGGTTCCTCTAGGCTCCACCCTAGAGTCCAATTTATTCATTTCATGCATGCTCCTCCTAGATAAAGTTGGAGCACCAGAGTATCTCCTTTTAGTACCCTTGTGAAAGCCACACATTACGACAGTCCCTTAAAGTAACTTACTGATGTTCATGGCATAGATACACAAATAGGTCAGAATCGCCTCACAAAATGCAGAAAATACTTTTTTGTCCTAAAAATTAAAGGTTGTAAGTGACTATTTTTAGTTCAGAGATTTAAAAAAAAGTGCACAAAAATCATTAGACAAGCATGAGCTATTTTGAAATTACAAAGCATTTACATCACATAAACCCAACCCAACGAAAATCCAAGCGGTTTAGTGGTTTAGCGAGAGTGAGCAACTCCCTATAAAAAGAAGTGATGGTGTCAACAGGCATACATACCTCCTCAGGGTTGTCCTTATATTCTGACAGTCCAGGTTTCACTGCATGGAACATTTCATTGTCCAGAACAGGCAGCTCCACTACAAAAAGAAATACAAGGAAACAGATCATACAAGTTATACACTGCAAAACAATTTAGAAACAAGTCAACATTTCTTAAATTAAGTGTATTTACCTTAAATGTGTGCAGGAAAATACTATAATATGCACTTGACATTAGACAATGCAGTTGGGTTTTTTTTTCTTATTGTAAATGTAAATTGTCTTGTGTCTCACTTGACTCTTCAATTCAGGAAAAAATGCACTTATTTTAGATTGCAGTTTTTGCAGTGTAGAATTTTTATTTTATTAAGGTTTTTTTTTTATTTCCAGTGGCTTCTTATTATATTTATTTTCATCCTAGAGGATTTAAGGCTTCCTGCATAGTTGACTCATACAAACTGATTAAAGTTCACCTCTACCACTAGATGTGCCCATGCATTCTGCTGACAGCACACAGTGAGTGAACCTAAGAGCAAACAGAGTGGGAGTCAGCTGTTCACTCACCGGGATCCTTCTGAATGAACTTGTAGATGTGGATCCTGGTGCCGGTGCTCCCAGCATCGAACATGATCCCGTAAAAAACCCGACTGTCTCGATGTCTGTCATGGGAGGAAACTTCGGGGACGCGCCGCAGCACCTGAGTCTGGTGATGCGCATCAGGTGCTGGATGCACCACCTCTGGCACCGGGTGGAAAGCCTCTGGGATGGAGTGGACATCTTCCGGCGCCGGGTGGAACACCTCCGGGACCTCGGGGTAGGTGGAGACGCCGGACTGAGAGACTTCGGGCACAGGGTTTACGACCTCGGGGAGGAGGTTTTCTGTGTTTGCGGAGGGCTCCCTGTAGCGGTAGAAGTGCGGGATGTAGCGGTGGTGGCGGTAGTAGGTCGCCTCGGTGAAGAGGCTACCACCAAGGAGCCAGAGGATGAGGATGAGGGTCTGCTTGGCCATCCTGCTGAGAGTCTGAAGATGCTGGAGGGAAGCTGCAGAGTGGGTGCGATGCTCACTCAGGGCTGTCCCCTCATCTGATTACAGTATATAAAGACATAAGGGCTTGGCATGGGGCCACATCTGGAGCAGCATCCACCAATCCTGTGCTGGGACATCCCAACTCCATCAGGAGTCCCCCTCCTCCTGGGACTAGAGCTGAGGACTACCTGCCTACCATTTCTTTTTCCTTTTTTTTTTCTTAATATGAAGCATTTTTTTTGGCTGCCTTTTCTCCTGCTCATTAACTGGCTGCACTAAAGCCAAAGAAAACCCCCATATGAAAGGAGAATGGGTTTATCAAGGTGTAGAAAAATTAATTGCTCACACTGGTAAACTTCAAAGAAATCTTGCCTAAAATACTTAATGGTTGCAGAAATTCCTTCATGCTGAAACTTTTGGAACTTTATAATGTCATAAGTGCTTAATTTTTTTTCTTAAATGATGTGTGATTTATATTTATTTTTTCCTGCATGGCTTTATAAGCTGAATCGGACTGACTCAGCATTTCTACAATTTAGCAATGCAAATGTTAAACTCTGTTTAAAAATGTGCAAATTTATTGGGATAATATAGTGATATATTTTCAGTGGTATTTTTGGTTATGGCTCACTGCTCAGGGCGCCATTGCAGAGGGCACCTAGCAAATAATCGTTCCCTATTAAATTCAGTATAAATTGGGCATTCCCTAGGCTGTGAAAGAATGCTTTGTTAAATATTACTGACCATCAATTCAGGGTATTTATGCTAAAGTTGATATTATATGAGCGTTTCCTGTTCGCCACAGTTTTAAAGTGCTTTATTCATATTCTTTAGAAAACAGTTTATGAAGTAAAACCCCAAATAAAACAAACAAAAAATTGTTTCTTTGTTTTCTGAAACATATTATTAACAGAAATATCAAACAGATTTTTTTTCCTTTTAAAAATGTGTTTTAGTTCTTAGTGTTTCTATTAAGTCAATCAGTATAAATATATTGTTTCAGATTTGGAAACATTTTTTTGAATTATAAAAAGATGGCTGAAAAAAATGTTAAATTAGCCACAAGCTTACTTTATGTAGTGCACAAAAACAAAAGGTGCACAGAGCAAGAGCTTCATTGGATTACATTTGAAGCGTTTAGAGGGAAAGAAGAATGACATCATCTTTTTTTAAACGAGGAAAACTTCACATTTAAACCTCTCACCGTATTTGGGCTTATGGAATCTTTCAAAAAATGTCAATCCAAGCTTCTCTCCAGCTGACATAAAAGTTAAAAGAATGTTACAGCAATCATCTCACTCCTACTCATCTCTGTGTTAACCACAGGTTTTCCAAGAGAAAAATGTTTAGGCTGTGAGGCACATTTAAAGAGAAAATGCATGAAAAGCATGAATAGCTGTTTTTCCACTTTCAGTGGGAGTTTGGAGTGTTTCTTTCTCTTAAGGACAGTCGAGGATGCGGATTCATCAAGTATACCTAACATTTAGGTATCCTTGCTTTATTTTGAGTACTTTGAACTATGGTGTTTGGCTAACACCATGGCTCAAAATCCTCAAGTGACCTGAGATGTGTGCATTTTGTATGAGCAGAAAGATAACAAAAAGCAGTTAACTGAAACATCCCAAGAAAACTGACCCTGTCTCAACCCCACCCCCTTTGTTTCAGCTCCAGCAAAGACCTTGCCAGGAATGATGCTATTGGCACGAGCTGCCAGGAGGGTACGAGGAGGGCAAACGTGCTGTTAGAGAGCAGGAACTCCACAGTGAGGACAATGTGGGGAGGGTGGGGCCTGGCAGCAGTGTTCGCCCATCATGCCATTCCACTCCCTGGACACTCAACTGTGCAAAGCACTGTTCCAACACTGTAATTTGGACTAAAAATATTGGACTCTCTTTCCTCCTTCCTTTTTTGTAAATACTGCGGCTACTTTCTTCAATCTTGCGGCTCACCAGAATGGTCGTTTGCCCCTATCAAAGTGTGCATGTGCAGAACCTCTTGCTGCCTTTGCGCTCGTCAATGTCTTGGTTTTTCAGCCATGTTAAGGGATATCGATTAAACCCTGAAATAAAAAAAAATTAAAATTCATAATTAAGTTAATGATTGATATGCGAACAAATTTTAAAACCATTTTGAATGTGTTCAGACAGATCCGGTGTGTAATGCTGTGAGAAATACTTGTAATGTGCAATATTTGGGCAGCAGTAATCCCCTTAAGTACAGTAATGTTTCTGTGGTGAATCACCCACACCTACGTTCATTTTGCTGTTTGAAATATATGCGGCAGCAACATCACTTTTAAGTAGATTTCCAATCAAACAACCGCAAAGAAATTGTGGATTTAAATCTTGTTGGGATGGTGAAATATGCACTGCTGTGTGAGCTTATTTCTAAGACATGACACAGCACATTACGCACATATAGACACGCATGCTATGTAAGACAAGCTCTAGTTTCAAGGTCTGGTATTTCGTTTCAAGTTAACTGAAACCCTAAAGCACTAGAAGGGACCCCAGCTTTGTAATCTACACTCTGCTGTATATCATTAATATGCTGCAATGTTGCCCTCAGGAATGTCATGTTTGTGGGTGTCCTACCCCAACAAGTCCATTGAAGAGACCCAAGCCTTGTCATTACAATTCCAGTGATAATGACAGCTTTGAAAAGCTCTGGGTTATTTCAGTTTTCTCTCCTCGCTGTCATAGTAATTACCTTTAAATTTAGTCTTCAAACTCTCATAGTAATGCCAGAGCACAGAGCGACCCTATATGATTCTGTTTACAGTAGCTACACCCAACACACTCTCAGTTTCTACCACTTTTTGTCCATGTGTGTGTATGATAAATAATCAGCTCTGGACATCCAGGCTCCAACCTGCAGGATCCCGAACAAGATGACGGAAAAAATTCTGTGCTTTCATTCTGAATTATAACTTGCCTTTACATTGTTTCTATTGGAAGAGCTTCCTTTAAAATATGAGCAAACTATCTCAGTGGTTTTCCCATAACTGCACCAGAAAATAACGGCATAGATGGCAGTGGAAAAACACACAGTTCTTTTCAGGACATCACAAACAATACTGCTGACAGAAGCCAAATGTACCTCATGTCATCTTGTGGGAAGAGATCATGTGCAAACAGATCCTGTGTGATAGAACCCGGCGTGAGAAAACTGTAATTACATGATGAGCGATCTCATCAGTCTCAAGCGAACGTGCATCACAGCTCCATCATAGGCACTTACTGGCTCATTAATTCACATATTCCCCTAATAAAGGAACACTATAATAAAAAATGCTTTGAGTTATCTCAGTAATACATTTTTAAATGTGAAACCTTAAGATGACATCAGTAATAAAGGCATTTTAACAAGAACATATTAATGTTATGCAAGCCTATACCATAATAGGGAAGATTTTAAATGAACAATTTCCAATCATGGCCCAGCAGTAAGCCTCTAAAGGTCTAACCTAAAGCAGTAAACTGTATCCAAGCTTATTAATGTAGAATTTAGTGGAAGGAAAATATAAAATTAAGTGCAAAACCCACAGGGATAATTAAAACTACAACTATAAGCTGATTCTGGGCTTATAGAGTTTAGAACATAGGGTACAACATGCGCATTCCATGTGTGAAGCCCTTAGTCAGTCACATGGTTTCACCTGAAATATAAAGATTAAGGAAAGGATTGGTTGTCTAGTGCAAGGTCCCAAACTCTGGCAGAACAGAGGCACAGAAAGCTGCATGAACTCCAGTGAGAATAAAAAATAATAATAAAATAAAACAATTGAATTTTATTGATCTCACACTGGAGAAATTTACCTCTGCATTTAACCCATCCCCTTGGGGAGCAGTGGGCTGCCACTGTGCAGCACCTGAGGAGTAGTGTGGGGTTAAGCGTCTTGCTCAGGGACCCAGAGTGCAGGCTGTGGGAATCAAACCGGGTACTTGCAGCCTTCTCAGAGCACAAGCGCAGTGCTCTAACCACTAGGCCAACACTTCCCCACTTGGCAAACCATGTTGTCTTTTGTTGCTCACCAATTTTTTTATTTTATTTTTTTTCAAATAATCTGAGGTCATCCTCCTGTATAATTTTAAATCAACTTAAGCTTCTCTCTGCTGACCAGCTTCTCGCAGTTTCCAGCTGGACATGGCATCCACCCCAACTACCGAAGGTCCCAGTATCTGTTCTAATAGCTATAGTGTCAAGGGGCTGGACTGTTCAGAATGAAACCGCACAGCAAATCTATTGAGAATCATCAAGATGAAGGTATAGATGGGTTGAAGGCAAATTTTAAAACAACCTGGCCTTCCTTAACATCTTAGCAGAATCATGGCACTCAGTAAATCATGCAAAAGAAGTGCAAGTGTTGAAGCATGCAGGATTAGAAATGAAAATTAAAGCTGATTTTGTATAAGTCAAACATGCAGAACAATGAATTTGAACATAAAGAAAGGTTGTGTTGTTTAAGTTTCACACTTAAATAAAATTAAACAGGTCAAAAAACAATTACATATATTTTAGGGAATTTATTTATGCTTATAGCGAATAACCAACAATATTTCAAATGTATTTTCAAAACTAGTAGAGCTGTAAGCTTAATATGCTCTTTTATGTCCTCATCTTAGAATATTTAGATTTTTTAAAAATTCAGAAAAAAAGGAATTTAAAACAACACAAACAGGTACTTGTGATTTATTCTTTGTGGTTGTTGCTGGCACACAGTCGGAGCCAAAACAGCACAGCTCTTATCAGAAAAAAAGGACTATGTGGTTTTACACTGTCCAAGTCAATACGAGAATCACATGTTAGGTACAAAATGAGAGATTAAGGAAACAAACATCCCCCCCAAAAAACATCTTAGTCATTTTGTTTTGTTGTCAGACATCCGACCATGTTAAAGTGTTTCTTCCAACCAGTGCATGTTTTTCCCTTTATTGTTTCTATGATTTTGTTGATCTACAGGGGGAAACTGAAAGAACATTGCAAAGGATCCCCTGTTCAATTCTCACTAAAAGTAACAAAAAAAGAAAAGGATTTTGCCTCTCAAACACTGGCAAACAAGTTTTTGTTTAAAAAAAAATAAGATAAAAAAATGTCCGATTTTCTAAAAGAATATTCCAAACCTGTTTTATTTTTAGGAGTTCTTTTTTTGTGCCTCTGTATATTCCTCAATGACCTAGCAGACTTTATCATTCACTAAGGCTCTGCGAGGAAAACCACAGCAACAATGGAGCTGTTTTTATCTTTTCCTTTTGACCCTTTTTCCTTTCCATTTGATCTAAATGATAACACATCACACAACACCATTGCTTTGTTTTTTGTTTTGTTTTTTACTGACTGGGTACAACAGTTAAAGTTTATTATTTAAGTCTTATAAACGAAGATCCAATAAATACAGGTGGAAATCTATACCTAAACATTTTTATGAAATGCACTAAAGGTACTAAAGCAGTTGCATTTTTCTTGGATGGTTAAAAAAAAAAAGAATTTATATATTTTTAAATTAAAATGGTACGTAAAATATTGGTTTTATTGCACATGTTTTTCATTTCAACATTGTAGTAAGTAGGGCCACAAACATCTAGCAACTTTTTACTAAAAAAAAACATGGTCACACCCATTCATTAACCTTGTCTAAATACAGCAACAACAAAAATAACGTCGCTTTTTTTCTGGGAAAAGACTAAAAACATTTTGACCAACAAAATAGAAGACATTTGACCTATAAAGTGGGAAACCAAATACCTTTTTTTCTTTTTTAAGGCAAACGTCTCAGACCTGACTTCTCTTCTTTGTTTCATTAAACAATGTAAAATCATAAAAATATGGCCATATTGCATATTGTTTATTTAGTAATTTTGGCCCCATGGTTCAAAACCTTTGGAGACAGCAGATCTAAACTTTGTTTTGCCATGAATAGGCTAAGATCTACTAACATCTGTCTTTGATACAAACACAAACCGCGAGTTATATGAATTCACTCAATGCGTAAATCAATCCGTAGAAAAACTATGGATCCCATAATCAACATGTCAAACATTTCAGAGTGAATGCATGTCAGTTCTATGTGTTATTAAGGTGAGGAAGAAAATCTAAGCTGCATTAAAATTGGGGAAGAGATTCAGGAAAACGGCAGGAACACAAAAGGATCAAAACTCAAAATCAGACACCAGCATCAAGAGAAAAGAGTTTTACATAAAATTGGACTGGGACAGTTGTATTACAAGCGATACTAGTGGATAAAATTATTATAAAATGCAGAAAGAAAACTACCTCACAACTGTTTCTATACCTACAACCAGCAGGCAATTAATAATACAGCCAAGAACAGCCGTTAACAAACCAGTCAAAATTACTGTAAAGGAAATGTAAACATCTGAGGGATATTCATCAAAATATAATGAGGATGCATGTATGAGCACATGTATAAGGTCTAAACATATGTGATTAAATATACATACCAAATTCTTGATTTAAATAAAGATACTGATGTTGTTTGTTAGATGATTATTCCACTGTGAGTAAAAAGCAATTCACATAAATAAATGTCAAAACTCAATATACAATTGGGCTCAAGATGAACGCATCCAAAATATGGATACATAGATGGGTGTTTGTCATTTTCAAACCTTTTGTGAAGCAAAGAAAGCATTATATTGCACTATCAATTAAGATTTTTTTGGAAAAGAATATAAGCTTTATCTCTATGACTACCCAAAACTCTTTTGAAAAAAATACAAACTTTTAAGTAGATATTAAACTTCATTTTTAAGCTAGCAATTGTGAATTTAAAATGTTTTATTGATGTGATTTATAAATTTTAATTATCATGTTTTCATACGCTGTAAGGTGAAAATTATGAATAACAGAAATAAAAACTCCTATCTGTTTGTAATTATCATGTGTTTAATTGTAGTATTGCATTACTGAAATAAATGCACTTTTTAACAACACTCTAAAGCTCTGAATATCATATAAATTTAATATTCCAACTGGACCTGTTTTGAGATTACATTACTTAAGATGGTAAGTGTTCATTTTAAGGCAAGACAAGGAAAGTTTTTTGCACTGCACAGGTCATATCATTTCAAAGTGCTTTATATGAATTAAATAATAAAACAGAGGGAAGATAAAAGCAGGATAAAAGCAAATAAAGATAAAAACATGATAAACCAGGTAGTAGGGATAAAAAAAACAGACTACAACTTTAAATAATGATACCTCAGTTAACAGTTTAACTTAAACAGGCAATGGCAGTTCTAAACAAATAGGTTTTTAACTTTGACTTTAAAAAAATTCAGGCCTTCAGCACTTTTAATTTTAGTGGAATTCTTTCATGTAGCATGTGAATCAATAAAATAAATGAAATATCTAAAAATACACATATTGGACTGAATCTGTTGCTAATAAATGCAGGGCTGTCAACTCTCACCCATTGGGAGTGAGACTCACCCATCTCAGTGTCTTCACACATTCTCACTCCATATTCCCTATTCCTTACACAAAAAAATGACAGACATTAAAACTCAACTCCATTACACTTATTTATGTATTGTATGGTACTTTGAGTAAATATGAATAAAAAATACAGCAGCTTGCTTAAATTATTGGTGTGGAGACTGAGTGTAGGATCACATCAAAAGACTTTTTTAGTCCCAGTTTTAGTCCATGTTTTGCTCACAAGTTAAATAATTTTTGCTCAGTCTAGTTTAATAATCTCCCATTGACATTTAGGAGTAATTAAACCAACAAAAATATTTTAATTCTTAAAGCTTCCAGATTTGCCTCTTAAACCCATATGAGTTCCAAAAAAAGAAAAACAACCATTGCTTTTTATTTTTCAAAAGATCAGTCACCCAAGAAAAGACCAACCACATCCAGAGAGGATGTGCAGAACAGCTCAGTTATCCATGATTCATAAAGGGAGAACCACAGGTATGTTTTTTTTTTCTTATTACTTGTCTTATTCATTTATCTTTATTTTGGTCCATTGAATATGTTAACTTAATTTCCATCACATTTTCCAAATGAAACATTCAGAGAAGTGCTGTCTCCTGTCATGAGGAGTTTTTATATAATCGTTGTTTAGCCGTTTTGTCAATTGTAAGATTGATTGTAACTAATAACATACTGAATTAAGCTTTTTAATCCTAGCCTATTACCAAATATTCATACACAGTGTAGTTTGCATAGGTTTCGATTGCGCTGGTTCCCATATTAGTGCCAGTAATCCAGTAATAGCCTATTAATTCCCCATTCTTTAAGTTACTTATAATGATAATCAACAAAGTTGTGAAATTCTTAGTTTAAAGTATATTTAACATGCTAGTATTTTAGTAGGGCCCATTCTGCTTTACTTCAATTCTCTAAAAATCACCAGAATGTAGAAAATAATGTATATCTTGAGTAAAATATTCCACATAACTACAGATCACTTATTGCTACTCAGTAATAATTACTGTGCAATAAAAATCCCACATTCTGACACTTTGTTTTAGTCAAATCCTCTGAAAACCTCCAACCTACAGCTGCACTTATCCTCATCTAACCCCGACAAGGGTTTTTGTCCAAACTATTTCAAATTCTCACTCCAAGATTTGGTGAAAAGTTGGCAGCCCTATAAATGGGTGTACCATCTGATTAACTTAGTTATTCTTTAATTAAATGATTGATTGTGGGTTCATTCATTTATTTGCGCATGTTCTGTATTGACTATTATCATCTGATAATGGACTAAAACGGTATCAAACTACAAGACTGTATAATTTATGAAGCGTCACCATAGCCACAACCCAACAAATCAGCCTGGAGACAGCAACCATTGCTCTCTGCTGGAGGCCCCTGTTAGTTGGAGCGCATCTGTCATGCCCATGACAAAACCCTCCAAGATGCAGCGGGAGAAAGGCGGGTAAGTGTGCGGGTATTTACTGCGTTCATGCGCAAAGAGGAAATTTGGGCTGAGGTCGGTTTGCGGGTTTTAATCTGTCATAGGAAAGGGAAGAAAGGCTCCAAACATGAATCCAAATCCGAGAAAGAGCCGGACCTGGAGACAGCCAGAGCTAACGCCGCTCTGTGGGAGCTGAAGTTGAAGAGCACAGAGCAGGATCTGTCCGACTACCGGGGGGCCCATCATAACATGGCCCGCATGAACGAGCAGCTCATCAATCAGCTGCACCGCGCGCAGCAGGACTCTGTGGACATGACCGGCTACTGGCAAAGACAAGTAGAAGCCAGAGAGGAGAAGGTCAGGGAGGGAAGATGCACACACACCTTACAAACCTGGAATGCAGATTTAAACAGTTTAAAGGTCCATTTTTTACCCTCACAGATAAATATGCTTGAAGATGAACTAAGAAGACAAGAGGCCCTTGCACTTCAAGAGAGAAATAAACAGGTTAGTGTTAATTTATTACACAATTTTAAAATCTTATTAAAAATGCATGGATTTGCAAAATTAAATTATAATATTAGCATATGAATTATGACAGTTATAATTATGAATTTTCTTTAGTAGGGCAGTGGAGGATGCTATATTTCTGGGGTGGATCATCAAAAATAATTGGTCCTCCTAATTGTCAATCATTCTGGTGATTTGTTTACATAAGGCCGTCCTATGTGGTTGTCCCCATTTTCAATTACTGGTGGTGAGTTTGACATAGTTGAAAACTTGCAAATCTTCTTTTTGGAAAGTAAGCTTGTATGAGCAATGCAAACAGCAACTTTTTAAACAGAGCGTGCACAAGGAAAAATGGGCTTGTGCACGCTCTTGCACACGTTTCATAGGGGTTCCCTCTTGGGAGCAGATACAGGGTTGTACATGTGTATTTTTTTTTTTTTTAAGGGGATAGGGCGGGTCTTTTTTAAAAATTCACAAAAATCCTATACCATTCAATACCTTATATATACTATATATATGCTCTGCTAAGAATAACTCCAGAACCTCTGCTCTGAGTGCTGGAGCTCCTCAGGGTTGTGTACTCAGTCCACTACAATTCCCTCAGGTTAATTATGACTGGGTAGTGTCACGATTTTCAAATCAATTTGGATTTAAACAACAAACATATATAAGAATTGAAACGCTCAGAGACATTTTGTCTTTCTTTATATACTGATAAGGAATCTAGTAATATGATTGGATCAACTGTAGGATGTAAAAAAGAACCTTGACTAATGCCTGGGGACAATGCATTGTTTAAAAAAAAGGGAATTTGATGAAATTGTCTCTTAAACTTAGCCATTGGAAATAAATGATGACTTTGCATTAATATAATTTATTATTTGCTAATATTTTCCAAAGCCAACTTAGAGAATATCTTCTCCCACATTTCATTGTTATTCAAAGGTCTGTCATAATGTTTTAGTCAATCATGACAGATTTGTGTCCTCTAAAAAAAAGGACACATATCTGTCAAGAATCTGGTCTGTTTATTTATCCACACAGGCCAGGCGTGACATTGCTCTGATTTACACTGCGCATCTTAAACCTGTAGCATGTCAAAAATGTGCTGCGCTGTCTACTGACAGCTGGTGTTATGTGTAATTATGTTGGCATTTGCCACGTTTAAAAAAACAACAACCAAACAAAGGCACCATAAAATTAAAAAAACAAAAAAAAACAAAGCTTTGCATTCCAAGTAACTTGGTCTAATGTTATTTTAATCTATTCCAGTGGCCACAGTGAAAAAGCATAATTTAAAAGTGCTTGGTCGGGAAAATACAGACACGCTGCTGGTCTTGATGCGTTAACCATACTTCCATTGTCACACAGGATCTTCAGTCTAGAAAGGCCCCTTTAGGTTACATAACGCACACCAAAGAAACTAATTTGGACTCATACCCTCACTGACCTCTGTTTCCCACCATAAAAGCCGAAAGCTTTTAAATTCACATGACAAAGTCAAGTGACAGAAAAAGTCTTCTTCTTTTGCTGGCAGCTGGTTTCCATCTTCCAAGTCTTACTTCATGATAGTAAAACCGAGCTTCTGAGGATGAGAAAAAAAAGGCAAATGGTCTGGACCGACTTAAAACAAACCTATTTCAGACATGTACATATGTCCCTTTTTATTTAAGAGCTGCATTTGGGACTTTGATGGCGCCTTAAACCTCGCAAGGCGATAAAATGGTAGTATGTGAAAGTGATGAACATGCGAAGCAGTTCGGTCAGGCGAATAATTATTCTGTGCAGCATGAGGGAAAGGCTGATCACTTTCAACCCTAAAGCGGTGAATATTTTTGGAAACCTTACCATATGATGGGTTGCATTGGGGGAAAATTAGAAGATACAGACCGGCTTGTGTAAATACTGCAGTGCTGATGTAGACGAACGTTTAGAGAGTTATCTGAAGAATAACGATTAGGCTCAAAGCTGTAATCAGATGGTTGATAACCTCTCATTTAGTCGTCATGTCCATGTTTGTGGGCGCGCGTGTTTCCAGTCCTTCATGATTTTGGTCACTTTGTCACATTTTTTCTCAGACTGACTCCTCCACAGTAGCATCCTAAGACATTTAAGATGAATGATCTATGAGTTAGCATTTAAGTTCTGGTTACAGCTTTTTCACACGTTGAATTGGAAGAATTTCTGCATCATGTCCTTGTATAAAAGTTGATGGTTTCCATTTATGACTTGTAATTTTTGTTTTTTTTTCTGTTCTGTCATGTCTTAAAAGGCTCAAGCCCATAAAATGCTCAAGGAAGAGTTAAGTTTAATGGAGGAGAAGGAAGCTCGGTTGAAAGATGAACTCAGCAATGTGAGGAGGCGGAAAACAGGAGCAAAATTTTTTTTTTTCACTTTGAAGGTTATGGAGTTGCATTCAGGACTTTTTTCTTTGCTTCCAGATGGGGAAACACATGGATTTGAAACAGAAAGAGCATGAAGAAAAGCTAAAGGAAATGCTGGATAACTTCCAAATGGATAAGGTTAGACCACGGATTACAGTATGTGTTAAAGTGCATTGCATTGATGCATTAAAGATAAAAAGCCTTAAAGGAGTTTTCAAGTTATGTACTGCTTTTTTGCATTCATCCATTTTACCAAGGCAAACATTAGTATTTGATTAATCTCAACACAAAGTAATGCATGTCTATAAAGTAAAAGAAAAAGAAAAAATGACGAGTGTAGCATGCACATGTTTTTAGCCCCATTTCCTCTCTTACACCTAAATAAAATCCAATACCACAAACTGGTTTCAGCCACCTACCTTTAAAAGTATGCATTTGCACTGAATCTCAGTTTATTAAGGCCTCAGATTTGTTAAAGAATTAGTTAAAAAGCATCACGAAGACCAGGGAACACAGATGTGGACATTTTTTTAATCCTGCTATATTTTTTTTTTTTTTGCTTTAAAAATCTCACTGATTTCTGTTCAATCAATCAGCTAAAGATATTAATAATTTGGACCAATCACAATCTTTCAAAGAGCACTATTGCAGCAACTTTACAAAACAAAACTGCTGAGAGGCTGAGGTCGGGCTGTTCCTTGTCTGACTCTCTCATTGAAAAAGGATCCTCTGAGATCAAAATGGTGCTGATGTATGAACTTTATTTAATTTAAATTTTAATAAAGAAGAACAAAAAATAAATAATCAATGTAGGATAACATATCCAAAATATAACTGGACAAACGTAAATCCCTGCAAACTGTGTAGCGGTCAACAAAAACACATGGGCCCACTCACCCACTCTCTCCCAGTGCAACCCAGTCTCATGGGAAAATGTACCCCCACTACGTTGGTCCACACTGCAAAACGTAGTGGGTTGCCCAGTGACACTCCAACAGGTGAGTAATATGCCCTATTACAAATCTCCGCCCAAATCTAGTTGACCCATTCCTCTACAAACAAACAAATAAAAACAAAACCATAACAGCTATTAACTCACACAAACAAACATTAAAGTATATTCTCATTTATGGTTCCTATAAATACCTTAACTGACAGTCAGCAAGGAAGCTGCTGGCAGAGCGAGCCGAACCGAGGGCCCCTGCTTAAAGAAGAGCATTAATCAGTGAAGCATCCAAGAGGTCAGTGGTTAGTGTGGAGGAGCCACATATATCCCCAGCTTAAGAGGGACATACTATTAATTTAGATTACAAGTATGGCCTTCATGAAATTGTGCGCACAGCTGATTGGAAGTTGGGCATTTCACCAGTTGGATGCTACAAAAGGCTTTAGACTGTGGCAGAGGTCCTCCCTTTAACCGGACAATGACCCTGAACATGCAGCCAGACATGTGTTGGAATGGCCTAGTCAAAGACCATACTTATACCTGATAGAATTTTGAAGAAAACTGCTCAAAAAACTTGCAGTGAAAGTGGCTCTACAAAGCTTTACCTCATGGGGGCTGATTACAAAAGCACACCAGAGCTTCCGATACCAAAAAAAAGGATAGAAAAACCATATGTAATCTTCTTTCCACTTCATAATTATCCACTACTTTGTGTTGGTCTATCATATGACACCCCAATAAAATACATCCAAGACTGTGGTTGGAACATGACAACATGCTAAGACTTTCGGGAGGAAACTATCCTTTTTAAAGACCTGTTCCCTGTTGGATAAGAACAGACAGTGGTAAAACACAAGCTCAGATATTCCAAATGGAGGAGTGAAACCGTATAAATGTCTCTGCAGGAAAGCCTAAAGAGAGACATGATGGTCATGTGCAATCAAGAGATAGCCCAGATGAAGCTGGACCACCATGAAGCTATTGTGTGAGTGATTTTTCATTTTTTTAGATCCTGAGATTCAATCCTATAAAATGACCTGTTGAGCAGAACACTAAGAAAAAATAATGCCAGTATTTAAATATACAAACATGTGACCAGAATTAATGTTATTATATTTGGATTTGTCATTTTCATGACAGTATATATTACCTAAGTCAACTATCGCATTGTCATTTAACCCAGAATCTCCTGCAGGAAGCGGACACTAAAGCATGTGGGGATGACCATAGTTTACTTTTGAGGCTATAGGATGTGTCCTGCTCTGGCGGCGATGTTTTTACAGCTCATGAAACATCAACGTTGATGCTGGTGTGGCCCTGCCTGCATGGTCTGAGTGTCCTCATTTGATTTAATTTTGAACCTAGAAGTTAAACAAACCGACCCAGCACCACCCGGTTTCCAGAGAAGGAATCCTCAGAACCAACAAAAGATTTTTGTTGTAACCCTAAAGTTAATGTTTCTCTTTCTGTTGGTTGTCTTGACAAAACTCGGCGAATGAATCATGTTGAGATAAAATTACAAAGTGGGACAATGACGGAAATTACATGGAGGTATTCACAGTCTGCAAATGTTTGGAAATGTGTTGAATTAGATTTCCGTATTTTCCTGGTCTGGATAATTATGGGAAAACAAACAAAGTATGGAAATATGTTTCATATCTTCTTTATTGTGTCCTTCATTTCTCCCTTCATTATGTTATTCTTTCTTTCCTTGCTTCTTTCTTTCTATTGTTCTCTTTTTTTGTTTTTTTGTCTTCCTTGCACCCCACACCCTTTCCCTGTATCCTTTCTTCTCCCCTCCCTTCCGATTTTCGCCGTTGTGTCGTTTCTTCTTGTATTGTGTCCTTCATTTCTCCTTTTGTTCCTTTGTTTTGCATTCTTTTATTCTTCCTCTTTTTTGTGGGTAAATTCAATAAAAGCATTTTTTTAATTCAATAATAGTGATCGTCTTTAAACACATTTCTTAGTTTTATTTACATGGCGAATCACTGCCATAAGCTTGTACAGTAGTCTGTTGTGGGCATTACTGGTAGTCTGTTTATATCAATATCAAAATTCTTTTGTTTCGGCAAAAATGAAGAAATATATCGTGATCTAAGTTTTAGTAATATCATTCAGCCCCAAAAAAAACAAAAAAACTGAGTCGAGACTGAAGTTGTATTTTTTCAACATGAACACACAGTTACCTCATCTTTTAAACTGGAAACAATCTCTCAGCTGCCTTTATGTTTGTTTGATTTATTTTTTCCTTTTAGTCAGATGGAAAAGGCATTAAAGTCTGCTCTCGAGGAGCAGGATCGCTTAAATGAAGCTCTGAAATCTACCATCCAAGAAGCAGAGGACCTGAAGGAACTGACACATTCACTGGCTAAGGAAAAGCTCTCACTAACACTGGAGAAGGTATCTTAGCCCCAACTGACGTTAAACATGAGTGACTTTTCAGTAGCAGTCCTTGGAAAGAGACCCTTTGTCTCAAGTAATTTTTAAGTTATTAAAGTCTTTGTCGGATCCGTCCAAAATATATTTTTGGTGGGTTTTTTCCTTACGCTGTTTACTTGTGCTGACTCTGTGTATTTTGCTTGTGGTCCAACTCCCACCGACCTCCTGACTGCTCTCCAGCCTCTCAGTGGTCAGCGGTTGTGGCGTGTTTCCACTGGTGTCTGGATTCTAATTGAACGGCTTATCCCTTGGAGTTTTCTGGCACCGATTCTTTCCGTCAAATAAATATTGGGCACATTAATTTCACCCCTGATTATGACAGCTAATCTAAAGACTAAATCTGCTTGCTGACACCTTTGGAGCTCATTCAGCAGAACAAGAGGAATCACAAACAAATAAATACCCAGAATCAGAACTCATCCCCCCTATGGTCAGAGGTTTACATGCACACTTTACCGGCATGGATGCCATGTATGTATATACAACTAGAAACTGGAATGTAGTTCAAACACAAGGTTCCAAAAATACAAAGAGTCCACTAATATTCAGTTAGTAGTCAAATATCAAACCTGAATTATACATTATGCTTGTTTATTGCAAGGTCCAACTTGCCTAAAAGATTTGACCAAATATTATTGGAGTATACATGTTTCATTCAGAATGTATGTGTTTCAAAATTGCTCATTGTTGTGCAGTACTGAAAACCAAAGATAACCTACCTACCATATTTTATGTGTATAAACCTTTGACTATGTTTTATACTCTCTCATTTAGGACATGCTTGAGTTGACGATTAAAAAAAACTCTGCAAAGATGGAAGCGAAAGAAAAGAAGCTCTCTGAAGTCACGGCCAAAGTTTCTTCCCTGGAACTGGCCCTTGGGGAAATCTCCAGAAAACTTGAGCAGCAGGAAGAGAGGGAGAAAACAAACCTGATTACCATCCAGGCCAGCCAGGTGGAGCTGGAAAAACTGCAGAAGCTCCTTGCCATGCGAGAGAAGGAGATGCAGCGTGTCAAGCAGCTGGCGAGGACTATCGTTGATAAGCGCAAAGAAGTGGAGGAGTTTTTCCATGAAGCGTTGGATCACGTCAGGCAGGAGATCATTGCCAGCAGAATTCAGTACAAAAAGGAAGCGCTTCAGGATTATCAGCAGAAATTTAGAGAGGCCACAGCCGGGATGATAAAGTTTCCACCCATCAGTACCGTGAATAAAAGTCCCAACAGTACCAATTACCTTTATGCAGACATAGAGGCAACTGTAGAACGGTACATCAACCTTCCATTCAACCACTGTGGTACTTGACTCGAACCACGGTGGTTGAATATGTGATTTTTCTATGTATGCAAAAAAAAATAATTATGTTTTATTTGGATTTGATTGAATAGACTAAGACAAAATTGAATCATTTCATTAGCTGAAACAAAGCTGAGAATTATTCATAGTACATAATACTGCCACCACTATGTTTCACAGTATGGTTACTGATGTGTACTGCTAGTTTTTTGACATGTAGCATTTTGTGTGTGTAGACCAAAAAGCCCTTTTGCTCTCATCTGACAGGAGCATTCTTCCATAAGTGACCTCTAGATGATTGTGGCAAACTGCTAACAGGGCAGCTTATGATTTTTTTTTTTTTTTTGTCAAAAATTAATCAAGGTAAGGATTAGTCATACTTTAATTAAATAAACTCAAAGTCATTGGTCCAAATCTGAAGTTTTGCTATTTGGACCTACTGTAATCAATATACATTTCATTTCTTTGCAACTTTCATAAAGGCCAGACATGTATTGGCAAATTTTGGCAGTTGAGCTTAAGACTGCAGCTCCTTCACAGGTAGCAGGCCTATTGTCGGCTTCCTTGTTTAATCATTTTCTTCCATGGCCGTATTCACTGATGATATGACATGTTAGGGCGGTTGGCTGTAAAAGATTTATTATGGATCTTTTTCTTGCATCAGCATACAGTTCTTCCCTCGATGTGCCAGTTTAACTGGGAATGGTAAAATTCAATTCACTTCATTTATATACTCTGGTACCAATTCGTAACACATCTTATCTCATGTGGCATTTTAGAGAGTCGAGTCAATTAAATTATAAAGTCAGACTGTTTCAATGTTTTAATCAAGAAAAGCCTATTGAATGCAACAAGTCTGGATGAACATGTAGCATTAGTGGATATTCTCAGACACTGAGCATGCACGCAGTGAAAGTAGAGAGTAAAGTCTACCTTTTAACAAGAAGAAACCTTCAGCAGAATCAAGCTAAGTGTGAGCGGCCTTTTGCCAAGACCGACTGGGGGTTTGAGAAAACAGAGACAGACACACAATGGGACATGGCAGCACTGATCCTGAAATACTGTGTGTGTTAGAGAATAAACGGTAAATTACCTCCATAGGTGGCTTTTTCAATGAAAGAAACAGATGAGCTCTGAGCAAGTATTTTAGATAAGATGAAATATAGCACATAGATTTAGGTCCATTAGTCGATAGTTATGTCTAGGGGAGAAAGGTCTAAACCCTGAAAAACAGGCACAACTTTATCATTTATAATTTACGTTTTTGACAGCAGGAGCTTGGTTGATGCCTTCCTCCAGGATGGTGCAGTAGCTAAAGAGAGTGCCAAGCCACATGAAGCTACTATGACAAGAAAAATCAAAGAAAATATAAAGTTAATATTTGAAATAAAATATTACAAAATTGGAGAATCAAAGTAGAATTTAGAAGAGTGAGAAAAACGGTCCATTGGTCCTCCACCAGCCTAAGCCTAAAGCATCCTAATTATTTATTAAAATGGAAAGTTTTAAGCCTAGTGTTAAAAGTGGGCAGGCTGTCTGCCTTTTGGACTGAAACTGGAAGGTGGTTCCACAGGAGAGAGCTACTAGTAAACAGAAAGCTCGATTTGGAACAATCAGTTCTTTAAAACATGATGCAGCTTGAATACTTAGAGCTTTATGCATCAGAGAAAAAAACATACTTTGGATTTATTAGGGAGCCAATGGAGGGAAACTTAAGTAGGAGCTCCACAAAAACCAACAAAAAAGAAGTTTCCCCACTGTATCCAGTCAGTGAAAGCTGAGTGGGCATCACACAGCGCACATTATGAGCATTTTAAGAAAAACTGCAACACTAACAAGATATTTTTAACAACGCAGTTTGAGATTCATACAATCTTTTCCTCTTATTTTTGATCTCAAAACAACTTGGACTGTAACAAGTATGTTAACCATTAAAGATTAGCAGGTTTGACTGAATTATTCTATACTTTATTCTACAAAAAAACATGAGTTACCGTAGGTTAAACGGCGCACTAAATAACCCTTGGGGGTATGGCGTGCCCATTTTCAGGTACACCAAGCCCTGCCAAGACCAGCGGTTACAGATAGTGAATAGATCAGTAAAGATAGTTTAAAACTTATTCTGGATTTTATATCCTAACGAGAACTATATTTTCTCAAGAAGTATAATTTTCAAATCATATTTTATGGCACGGGATAAGGGGTGCACCATGGAGAGCCTTTATTTAAGAATGTCAGGTGGTTCATTAAAATCAAAATGAAATAGATTAAATGTTGTAACTCTAAAGTCAGAAACTTAAGAGTAATGCAATATCATAAAGAATTTTCTTCTGTTTTCTGTAGGCCTCTTTCTCCAAGCAGTGAGGTCCACGTGTCTCATCTCACTTGGAAGCAAAAGGAAAAAGTTCTCGGCCTCCTCTTTGCTAAAATGAATGGACAGACGGAAAGGTAATAAAGCATCCCGCATAAGTGGCTTATGTTTCACACAGCTAAACTATTATTGGGATTTGTGCTCACTGCCTACATTTAAATCCATTTGTTTTCTTCTAAAAGAAACTTAAAACTTCTGCATCAATTAACTCCGAAGAACAAAGTGCAGTGACACCATGCAGTTAGCTAAATTGAAACTGCTGACTCCTCCCTCCTTTTAATGCCTTAAGCAGCCATTTTCTCGGCAGAAGAGGATACCATAAAAACATAAGCTAGGCTTCAACCAATTTTCTTTTCCATCCAGCTGCTTAAAAAGAATGAAGAAAGAGTCTGGGCGCAATAGTAAAAATAGGCTCGGCCACAGAGTCGTGTGCTTGGAAACAAACATCTGGTCACAACGATTTTTCTTCCAGCTCATTGGTCTCCTCTCTTTACGTGCACAAGCAGTTTATTTTGTTCTTTGAACGCTTGTGGTCGGAGAGCAGCTGGTAACATGATTTTCAGAGAAGATTGTGCAGGGCATCTGTATGTATGGGATAGAGGGGGAATGACGGGAAGTATATTCATGTCAGCAGTGGTCTGGCATCCAGTCTGAACATTTGGTAAATTGAGACAATCAGTAAGCAGTGTCCAAATCTGGTTGACCCAAAATAACCGCTTTTGGGGTAGGGGGTGGGGGGTTCCGCAGGTTCGAGCAAAAAGACACCAGTGTGTTATAAAACATGGTTTCTCGTTTTCAGTGTTCTCTATTTAACTACAACTTCCTGCTTTTTCTCCCCCTGACAGGAAAGCCTGCAAGCATCTAGATCCGTGTTCTTCCAGCGAGGAGCAAAAAGAGACTTTTTGAAAAAAGGGAGCTCAAACACAGAAAAGAAATCACACAGAAAAAAATAAATAAATTTTCTCATCCTTGCAATTAAGAAAGCCTGCACAGATTTATTGCTCCCACATCTCATGTTTTGCAGAAAAAGCAGCGGCTGTGAGGACTTGAGTGCTTGCATGTGATTTATCAAGACGGTTTGCATTCTGGCATTGCATAATGATGACTGTCCTCCAGAATTAGAGAGGAGGCCTGCTGGGGCATCTATCAGCCCCAAGGCGCCGGAGTCCATTCTGCCCTCAACCCCAAACAGCCTGTCAGATACGCACCGCACCACATGACCTCAGTGCAGCCTCGGCTGTTCTCATCGCATGTCAAAACTCTGCATCTTTGAACTGTGTGCTTCCGAAGAAGAATCAAGCAGGGGTGCAAAATATAGCCTTGTTTTCATTTTAACTATTTTTCATTGCTTTGTGTCTTAGTTTTGTATTCAGTGCAAAAAGACAACACAAATACTGATTGCCTCCATGAAAAAACAAAAGTACCTTTTAGGAGACAAGGTTTATTAGTGTTTCTTTTTTTGTGGGCGGATCTTCAAGCATTCATTAGCATCTATACACACAGTTTACATATACAGTCTTTCTAATGGGTGTTAATTCACAGCATGTATATAAACATTATGTGGTTTCACTGGAAGAAAATTCAAAATGACATTCAAAGCGCTTATAGGACGAAGCATTCAGCGTCCCATTGTTGGCATGGTAACGGCAGGACTTTTCAAGGTAGCATCTTCAGCTTTCCATTGTGAAGTCACGGTTTTAATCTGAGTGTAGAACTGGATGCCCTAGAGAGAAAAATTAAATGGTCAAATACAATTCTTACAGCTTGATGCTTTTTTTTTTCTTTTTTTTCCCCCCCAAGTTACATAGCAACCACAAGGTTCTGTATACTGTGGTGGGTTTTTATGTGATAACCAAACTCCAAAGAAACACACAACTGTGAAATGGAAGGAGAGAGAGATGGTTTACGACTTACTTTCAATTTGAAAGGTTTGTCTTAAATGTTTTTTTTAGAGCCTCCTTTTAATGCAGCTACAGATTGACCCCTTTGGGGATTGTCTGCACCTTTGTTGCACATTTAGAGACCTTTTCTTTTTTTTTTATAACCTTTCAAGATCAGTCAGATTGGGTGGAAATCTACTGTGGACATCAGCTTTCAAATCTTGCTAAGATGCTCCACTGAATTAGCTCTGGACTTTGACTAGGCCTTTTTACCACTAATGCTTAGATCTAAACCCTCCTCTTACTTTTCTTCACTTATAACTGATTTTCTTTTTTTTTTTTCTTTTTTTCTGCTAGGAGATTCTTTAATCAAAGCTGTGGATCTCTGCATCATTTCCAAAATTTCTCCAGGGCCTGAATAGAGCACTCCTGGCCCGGTTTGCTAGTCTTACCAAGTCTTGATAGGTTTATTGTTTTCCGAGAGGATGGACTGTGCAGTTATCTCCAAACATTTAAAGCTTCAGACACCGTTTTGTAACATTGCCATGCTTTAACTCCGTCTACCTCTGTCCCTGACCTTTCTGCTCTGTTCTTTGGTATTCATGATCATGTCTGCTCACTAATGTTCTCAAAGGAACCTCTGATGTCCTCACAGAACAGATGAAAAAAAAAAAAAAAAAAAATCACTTCTGATGTAAATTAGGCCCCGTCCACACGAAGTCAAAACGAACACGAAACGCTGATATTTTCCAAAACGTTTGCCGTAAAGACGGAGACGTAAAATAAATGTGAGCGTCCACACGAATGCATGAAAACGCTGCAAAATGTATGCCAGGCCTGTAAGTGGCACTGTGGTGCCAAAGCAAAAATAAGCGACGAAATGTTGTGCATGCGCACTAATATTTATACATGGTTGCCCTGCGGGTCCATTTTCGTGGTTAAGTCAAATTCAGGTGCTGAACTATGTCGTCGATATTGCTCTGTTCTTCCTGGAGATATTCCAGAAGAAGAAGATTCTGTTGTAAGCCCGACAGCAGGGTGAGTAGCATTAGCAGCAACGGCGCCATTGTTGTTGTGATACTGGTCGCGCATGCGTGTTTAGAGGCGACGCTATGACGCATGCGTGTAAAAAAAAATATGCGGTTAGAGCTTAAAGATGGAAACGCGAAAACGGCGTTTAGAAATCTTCCCACTCTGAAGGCTGAATAAAAAAAAGATCGTTTACAGACCCCCGAAACGCCGGCTTCGTGTGGATGAGAGGCTGGTTTGGTGAAAAATTTGTGCGTTTAGGCCAGGGAACGTCTTCGTGTGGACGGGGCCTCAGTCAACTTGGGATCTATCTTTGGCTGTGAGATTAAATGGCTTGAATATAAATACACACATCCTATTAAATCCACCGAAAAATAGATTAAAGTTGTCTGCTATTAATCTTATAAAAAGATATAATGTGATTAGAGTTTCCATGTTTATGAGCGGGTCCTACCTGTTTCCCGTAGAAGTTGGTATCTCCTCTGAAGGATCCCCTCGATCCTGTGAAGGAGAACATTGGCAGCGGCACGGGGATGGGAACATTGACTCCAACCTGGACACAAACAAGCACAGTCCCTTTCATTTCCATAACTTTAAAGTTTTGTAAAACAATTCCAAGAACCCAAATTGCCGGGATGAGTGAGATGCGGCTGACAAAAAAGATGTGGTGCCTCCATGCTTGTTGAAAAAACAAGCCTACACGACCATAATAAACAAAGCCGAACCTGCGGCTTAGATCTGCCGCTTTGAAAGAACAGCATGCCTTCATTAGAGGGATAAAAAGCTAAATAAAACATTCTGTTTTGAAAACTGCAGAGCCATGGTTGTTTAGGATGTTTGAAACAGAGGGAAGAAGTTTGGATGCATTGAGGCCTTTTGGCGAAGATGCACCGAGTGGTGAAAAAAAAAAAGGAAAAACGAAAAGTAGATGTTTGTTGCACAGAGGGTTTGGAGTGGAGTGCAGCACATGGCCTGCACAACATTCCCCGACATGTGAACAGCAAACACAGGGCATAACCAGGCTCCACAGGCAAACAAACAGGGTGATGGCTGGCCATAATGCAAGTCTGCTAAAAACGGTCCCTGGAATCCCTTTTGAATTTTTTATTTGAGAATTCCCTGCTCTGGGTGCCACCTGGAAAAATGCTTCTATACCCTTCTGTTTTCATTTAACAAACGCATGTTTGCTTTATCTATTTGGAGTCCCGGATAGTGGGGAAGTGGAGAGAACAGGGGTTACCTGCAGGGTGTATTTTAGGTGAGGAGCAAACAAGCAGGTACGTGACATGGAAACATTTTTTTTTTCCTTTTTAAACATGTGAAGATTTTCAAACAGAAGCGTGATGTGCTCCCCGCTGCTATGGATGAAGCGCAGACATGACAGAGGGATGTGAATGCCTCCTTTATCCAAAGGACGGAGGGGCATTTGGAGAACGGAGCCACCCACCTGGCCCACGTCCACCTCGTGAGTGTATTTGCGCGCCGTAGCACCATTTGTGGTGAAGATGGCGGTGCCGTTGCCATAGGGGTTGTTGTTGACCAGACGGATGGCATCGTCAAGACTGTCTGCCTCAAGGACAATCAGGACGGGCCCGAAGATCTCCTCTTTGTAGCACTTCATCTCGGGCTGAGAGACGGAAGGAGAAACATTTTAAGAAAAGACGCATCCAGACAGACAGCTTTAAAATGTTCAACACAATTTTTAAAACCACAAAATGCACATTTATTTGACAAAGAATTATATGTGATAGAAGACAAAGTAGTGCAATAAAATATTTAACTATTAAATAAACCCTTTTTTTTATCAACCATTGCCATTCTACAGTAGATATTTATGAAAAACTGTTAAGCTATCATTAGAATGGTTTGTAGCTATAGGAAAATGTCTTGCACTAGGGGGAGAATTTAAGATTTGGAGTGTAAAAGGTTGCAGGTTCCTGACCTAAACAGCCAGAATGTAGCTGCCTGTATTTACTATGGAGGAGCTGCAGAGGTCCACAGCTCAGGTTGGAGGATCTCCTGATGGAACGACTGTTGGATGTTTAAACAAGGCAAAATATTAACTTTTTGGTGCGTGTAAAACTCTATGTGTGGGAGAAAACAAACAGTTTGAGCAGCAAAATACAGTCTTCCCATGTATCAACATGGTGCTGGTAGCATCATGCTGTGGGGATACTTTTCTTTAGCAAAAAGAGGATTGACAAAAGCTAAATAAAAGGCATTCCAGGTGAAAGGCTGCAAAAGACAGGAGAGTGGTGGAGGGCAACAACCCTGAACGGACAGCAGAGCTACATTGGAACCCTTTAGATAAAAAAAAAAAAAATGTCCCAGTCAAAGTCCGACTGGCTCATTTCCAGGGCAGATGTTTACTGCTGCTCTCTATCGATCTTACAGAGAATTAACTTCTTTGCTGGTAAATCACATAAAATCTAAATAAATTGGAATTTGTGGTTCTAAATAGTTAAAAACTCAAATAGTTAAAGAGGTTTGGAAACATTTATGAGGTATTGTGCAAAGATCTGCTGTCTGCACAGGGCACCACATACCGTGACATTGCTGATGATGGTGGGGCCGACAAAATTGCCGTTCTCGTAACCTTTGACCTTGACGTTTCGCCCATCGAGGAGAAGTTGAGCTCCTTCGTCCACGCCACTCTGGATCAGGCTGCAGACTCTGTCCCTGGCTTGGGGAGAGATCAGGGGCCCCACGTCTGCACCAGGCTGGTCCCCTAGCAGAGCCACAAAAACAAGACGGTGTGACTTCAGATGTGACGACACATTAGCCCGACTGATAATCACATTTGTCTTTCATCACCAACATTCAGCAGGCAGGATGAGGACCCTAAAGGTGCTCCTCTCTTAAACAGCAATCCTATGCCCAACACAAATTGACTGCGACTTCAAATCCCCATAAACGGGCAGAGCCAATCTTCGTTTTACCTCACGTCAACTTTATTCTCAAAGGATTTGATGGTCAAAAACCGCCATTTAGGTCTGGCCCGCAGATCTGGCCACAAATTTGCTGCATGACTGCCATGACAAACCCTGTTCTTCCAGCTGACTCCAAAGGGAAATTACAACAGAGCATCAGGCAAGAGGTGAGGTTAGGGCGGCGTGGGTGGCCCCGGCTCGTCTAAACCAAAGGGCCCCTTGGGAGAACGGGTTTGTTGAAAGGCGGGGTGACGGGCGGGTGTGGTACCTGCGTTCACGCGCAGGGCCTTGGCACGCTGCACCAGCTCCGGCAGCCAGCTCCGCGCCTCGCCCACCAGGATGGCCGTGGAAAGGGCCATGCAGCGCTGCCCCGCCGCCCCAAACGCCGCTCCCACAAGCTGGTTCAGAGTGTTCTCCTTGTTGGCATCAGGCATCACCACACCATGGTTCTTGGCTCCCTGCAGTACACAAGAAGTGGTTAACCCTTAGCTGTTTGATCTCCACTTTACAGAAGCCTGTTTGTGACAAATAGGATTATTATTTTAAACAAACTGTGGGTAAATCATTATAGTACATATGCTTCAAATTTAGGTTCATTCCTAGAACGATTGGTGCAAATAAAAATAGCCCGTTTCCACAGTGTGGCAGAGCTGTAATCTGCTCTCTGCACTCATCAGTACATTTAAAAGTCATTGTAATTTGACCAGTGAGTAAAAACATTTGAGAATCTGTTGAGCGCTGCTGCCACCTTCTGGGCATTTTCTGCATGTCTGGTCACTTTGTTTATGGAACTCACCATGTTGGATTGGACCCTCTTGCCATTTTTAGAGCCTCTTTCATAAATATACTCCCCAGCCTGGTTGGAGCCCACCAAACTGATGGCCTTGATGGCTGGATGGTCGCAGATGAAGTTCACAGCTGAGGAAGAAAGATTTTCATGCATTAGTCACATTAGCAATGCGCAAAAATTGTATCTTTACAACAGATTTCTTCAGTTTTTTTGGTCTTTTTTATCAAATTAAATAGTTCTGCTGCCATGTGTAAAAATACACTTCCACCTTTCCCTCTGACAAATAATGAAATAATGGTATTTAACTAAGCTTTGGTTAAATTGTATCAACTGGACTAAGGGCTAAAAGCTGCCTGAGCTGCAGAATTTTAAAGAAATCCCAATAAAGAACATTTCTGACAACATGACCTGGGTTATCACAGAATACCCAATCTAACAGGTAATAAACAAAGAATTTGACATAAATTTACCTCAAAAGTATTGCTGAAACCTTTTTATGATCTCGTACTTCCATAACCAATACAAGAACCATAATTCACAAATGGAGAAAATAGGGAAAAGTGATTAACTTCACAGAAACCATCAGATAACTATAATCACTTAATTACTTAAAGGTATAGTGGAGGATGTTCTGGGTGAATCATCAAAATAAGTGATTGTCAATCATTCTGGTGATATATCTATGTCTAAAATCTATCTATGTCTACGCGGAAAAATTGCAAATCTTCTTCTAGAAAGTAAGCTTGTATGAGCGATGCAAAGAGCAACTTTTAACCAGAGCGTGCATGAGGAGAAATGGGCTTGTGCACGCTCTCACACACGTTTAATAGGCTTTCCCACTCAGGAGCGGGTACAGGGTTCTGCATGTACATTTTTTTTTTTTTTTTGTGGAGAGTGCGGGTCTTTTCAAAAATTCGCAATAATCCTCCACTATACCTTTAACTAAGGCTCCTTACGCCTCTTTTTTAGCTATGTGGTAGCATCAGCCGTCTTTTCTTGTTGAGGTTTACTGGAGCAGCAGCTTATCTACCGCTTAGAGGAAACAGTTTGGGTAAGCTTATCAGAAACACTCTGACCTAAAATGTCCCAACAATTCAGAGCAGCCTGTCAGAGATAAAAGGACCCGGGCAAAAACAAAACTGTTGGACTATGTCTCCTATTCCATGCATGAAGTTGTTGCAGAACTGGACAGTTTGAGATATCATATGTGCACAAAAGAGCATTATCACAGATCCTTCCAGCCGCTATTAGACTTAACAATCATCAACGCTCCCAATAATGTCATTGCTCACATACTTGCCGTTTTTCCCATTTCCGTGTGTAAAAGGAATGTACTTTTCACTTTGCTTATTCTGCTATTTCTATTCATTGCTTAACAACTCACCCTGGAGGTAACAAAGGAACCAGAACATAATCTGAAGACGTTTTGGGCCTAAAATACATCAGTTAAGATTACTGTTCACGATTCAACAGTTAGAAAAAGAACATGCAAAAAGGATAGAAAGAAATCAAACCGACTGTTATTAGCAATTTTCATTCAGGCTATATCAGCTCTCACCAGCATGCTGTCCATGTATGATGTTCAGCGTCCCATCTGGAGCACCGGCGTCCTGCAGCATCTTAGCCAGCAGCATGGCGCAGGTCGGCACACGCTCCGACGGCTTCAGCAGGTAGGTGTTGCCGCACACCATGCCCATGGGGAACATCCACAGGGGGATCATAGCGGGGAAGTTGAACGGGGCGATGCCAGCGCACACGCCGATGGGAAGGCGGTAGGTGTAGGTATCCATATCCTTGGTGATGGAGGGTAGGGTTTCTCCCAGCATCAGAGATGTGATGCTGCAGGTGTGCTCTACGACCTCTGCAAAAAATAAAGCAGGTAAGACATGATGCAAGCCATTATTTTGGCTGAAAAGTGAAAAAAAAAAATAATTCATGGAAATGTCAATGTCTAACTTCAAGGGAAATCGTTGTGTGAAGTGAAACTTACGCAATCCTCTGAATACGTCTCCTTCTGCATCAGCTAGGGTTTTGCCCTGCTCCAATGTGATCGACTTGGCCAGCTCTTTCTGAAAAGCAACCAGGAGTTCAGCTCTACAGTTTATGTCATCTGGCATATCACACTTTACAACTTTCTTTACTCACAATGTTGTCCTTAATAAGCTGCTGATAGCGCAGGAAGATTTGCTGCCGTGACAAAACGGAGGTCTCAGACCACGTGTGAAAGGCTCTGGAGCAAGAGTCTACAGCAGCCAACATCTCTTCTTGGGTGGCTTTGGGAACACGGGCAATCACTTCATTAGTAGCCTGCAAGAAATCAATTAGCAAATTGTTTAATGACCGCCTTAAATAAGCCGTGTTTGTTAATCTGCAGCGGAAAATCTCCTTGGAACTGAAACTAAGGCCTCCCATTTTCTGTTTATAAATGCACCAATCCAGGGTGCATTCCTAACATAACACAAGAGTAAAAATGAGCCTTGGTGCTTTACTCTACAGCTCACTTTTTTCTTATATGTGCTATAATTTTTTTTGGGGGGGGTAGGAAATAAAATCAAATTCAAGCACGTAAAAGAAAACCAGACATTGATACTGACCTGATTTTTTAGTCAAACACCAGTACATTTTTTGGGGCCTTGCATCATACTTACAGGATTGTGAATATCAAGCCATTCTGAGGATTTCGACTCAACAAATTTGCCATCAATGAAGAGTTTTACAGTCGGCTGTAAGGAAAATAAAAACACCAATTGTTACTGACAATGCAAAATTTAAGGAATCAAAAGGAATGAGATACAAGAAAAGCTGTTTTTCCACTGACCGCTGAGGAGGAGGAGTAGCACAAACGGCCAGCTTTAGGATGGACCTGTTGAAAAATGAATATATAGTGTTTTTCATTGGTATGTTAAAAACCTATAAAGGCAAGTTTCATTTGCATATTTAAGATGATTCGCATATAACCGGTTATATCCTGTTGTGGCTTGTAGGAGAACATGATTAATAAGCAACTAAAACATGCATGGTGCTGGGAAGGGGACAAAGTCAAACTGAGTGGAGCAGGTTGAAAGAATAAAAGCATGACAAGAAGCATCAACCCAAGTGAAGCTGTGCATTTTAAACAAGCCTACAGTCTGACAGATTATTTATACATCTATAAGAAACATGCAAAGTTGAAACCATCTTTATTGACTCAGTCTGCAGTGCACACATGCTGCTCCAATGACACTAACTTTGTAAACAATGACAGTTGGAATGCCTGCTTCGGTTTTAACAGATATAAAAGCTTTAGCTTTAAAGCTCACCTTGCTTCTTAGAGCCGATCTTAATGCTAATGCCGCCATGATGAAATGCTTTGGACCCAGAACGACCTGATCTCACAGATTCTGCAGGTGGTAAAATGGTCCAAGAACACCAGAAACCTTCCTTACGGACATAGATTACCCGGAGGTGGGATCTGAGTAAAAGCAAGGCTCGCTATTGGTCCAGATTTACTCACGCCCACAAATAACCGTGTATGATTGGTCTCCTTGCTGGACAGTCTATCCAATCAGTGTTCTACGTGAAGCAAATTTCCGCTTTAGTTATAAAAGTCGTATAACTATTGGATAAAAAAGAAATTCGTCAATGGAGACCATAGAAATAGAAAAATAGATATAGTGTTCGAACATTAGTAAGCCACTAGGCATTGTACGTCAGCGTGGCAGCCATTTTGTGAGTGGCAAGTTCGCCAGGGTTACTCAAAACACTTCAAAGCCGAGTTTTCTTAACTTATAAAGCTTATATTTTACAAATCCTGATAATTTTTTTTGTTTCTAACTGTATATGTTCTTATCGGTATTAAAACTGAAGGTTATTTGGACAAAGTGACAAAATATCTGGAAATTAAAACTAAATAGAAAGTGCCTGAAAGAGGATTGAACATATTTTCTGTGATCTTGTTCTGGAAAAAAAGTGAAGACTGTGATGACTTGGTCAATAAAAAAAATGAAATACAAATATTTTTTCATTCTCATGTGTATATAATATACAGGAGTTTTGCTGTAAAATATTATCATAATATCAAAACGATTTGAATTTCTTTTTTTTTTTAAAGATATTAATTTATGTGGTGCAGAAGAAATGACTACTATTACTGCATCTACTAATAGTAATAATAGGAATGTGTGTTTTATGCATTGATGATTAATGCATATATGCTGGTACTGCCTTTTCCTCCTAAACAATTGCAATGTGAGCAATCTAAACTAGTGGATTAAATAGCTTTATTTTAGATTCTATTATATGATCCTAATCCCTCTAAGAGATGCTATGGTACAGAAAGCCTCTTTCAATTTGGGGGTTTTATGAAGAAGCTACTGTTATTGTGTGGTTTGTTGCAAGAATGAACAAATAACACATAATAATATATTTGTATTGTTAAAACTATTTTTCTTTATTTATTTCTCTTGTAGCTTCTTACTAGGTCCTACTGGAATGTTTTTTATAGGAAACATTAAACACCACAAAGTGCGTTCACAATATGGCGGCCAAGTTTACGCACAACACCGACGCTGATGCAACATCTATTTTTCTATATCTATGACGTTGCTGCTCTACCGTGATGTTTGTTTAACTAGAGCTATTGTGTAACCTGCAGCACAGTTCATACCAGAACTTTTCTAAAATCTTTGTATCAATTTTTAGGGTTTTTTTTTCTCTGCTTTTATTTTTTCATTTCATAAGTTTAAGGCGAATTCATAGATTCATAAAGGCAAGACTATAACCCACATATCTAATTTGATGTTACGAACGTCTTAGAAGCAACATCAAGGATGCGCTTGACGTTAGTTTGCCTTGTTAAGGTACTGTAATATCTGTTTCTGCAAGCTGTGAGTGTGAGACTATGTGTTTAATATGAAACAGATGTTGCACAGTCATGGACCAAAGTATAAGGAGGAGGGAATTCAGGGACACATCCTATTGGCTGATAGAGGAGGATGGGAATTTGCAGAGGAAAAAAAGAATACATGCAAAACTTTCTTTAGTCTTCCAAAGAGATATCCACTAGATCTATAGAGCGATGGCAAACAAAAACAAGGTGAAGCAAGAAAACCTAAAATGCATGGAGGAAGAATTATTTGTTTTTCTATATTTTCTCAACCTTCTATATTTCTTTTTCTTGTTTTGTTTTCTTTTAGCCTATACTTCATGGATACTTCAGAAGCTCCTGCTCCTGGAGGGTCCGGATTGGTGAGTCGTACTTTAGTACTCTGCTTATTTCTTTTAGAGATTATGGATGTTAACAAAATAACTTTGAACTTTTTTTTTTCTGAACAGCTTTTGCTCTTAAGGGTATTGAATATGACCAGGTTGCAGTCAACCTAATCAAAGATGGAGGTCAGCAGGTATAGTATTAACATTTCCTGTTCATTTGTGATAGCAAAAACAAAACAAATCCAATTTGATTTTATTCCATAATTCAATTTATTGAAAGAACTACTGTACACATCTTTTTATTCCTGCAATAAGCATATTTTTTAGCATATTGTTAGTTATTTTTATCAGTTTTTTTTTGTGTTGGTTTTTTGACCTCTAAATTTAATGAAATTAATGAGCTTTTGGGTTTGTTTTTACTTTAAGTTCTTATGAGTGTCTAGAATTTTCAGTTTAGTAATCCACAGTTTTCCTAGCCTGATAAACCTGACTAAATGAAAGATTGGTGGGTGGGGCTAGTTTACTAGGCTACAATTTTCCATGTACCTATTAAATATATTGGGTCCCAAAATCTGAAAACTATCAGATGAGCAGTCTAAATGTCCACTCATTGTTAGGGGCCATAAGCAGCCCCGTAACCAGCATTGAGAACACCGAGGTCATGTCCTTGGTATTTTCCCCTTTTTTTTTAATTTTTTTTTTTTTTTTTTACTCAGAGAAATGTCAAACTATATGATGAAAATTGTTCTGACTTCGATTGGTGTAAAGATCAGCATGCATTCTCATTGGTTAGGAAAAAAATAAAAGTCCACAATATTATTGCAAGTCATTTGATTCATTTCGTGGGCCATGCACATGCATAGTGATGATGGTGACAATAATAGTAGTATTAATAATAATTCAATAATAACAACAACAACAATAATAATATAGTATAATGATGATTATAATAATAATAACTCTCACTCACGAAAATACTCTAATTTTGTGAGTTTTGGATTTTTCTTATAATAAACATGTTCATATTTACCTCCTTGATGAGCTTTAAAGTCACCATATTATGATGTGTTTTTGTCAAGTAAGATTTATCACAATATTTGATTGACCTTGGTAATTCAAAAATCCTGGTTACGGCCCATAAGACTGAAGATGTTGTATGCACTCCTAAAGGTCCCAGAGATGTTTGCTTTTTTAAATCTGAGGTTTAAATAATAAAAAGAATTTTTTGGGGGGTTCAGAAATGTTATTTTTCACAAGAAGTGAAGAGCAGGACTCCTTGGAAATCTTAATGGGGTCATCGTTTTGAAGCAATTATGGGAACAATGCCCTTGTAACATTTCTGAACAATCACACCATAGGTGTTTGATATCACACAAACATAAGTGGTTTTTGGCAAAGATGAGTGGAAAAATCTCCCAAAACCCAGAACAAAATAAAAAATAAAAAAATTCTTATATTGTTTGGAAACAAACTTGTGGTGAACTATTATATGCCTATTATTTTACATGGTGGAGAATTGTCATGCCGTGGGCCCATTTTACTTCTAAAGGTATTGGATTTAACAAAATACATAAAATATTATATTTATCAGAAACACAAAACAAATGTGGTTCAGCTGTCTTTACATTCACTTTATTCCTTGCTATCACAGTTCCTAGAGAGGCACTTTAGAACATTAACATACTGTATGAAAAATACAGCACATTATTTAGAGATACAGATCTGTAAGGGAAACATCCTGAAACTTTACACTAAATGTATAGTAATGCATTTAAATATGTAAGCACATGCTTTTTTGCTGGGAAAATGTTTCTTGTATTTATTCATTTTTTTCAGCTTTTTAAATTAGAAAATATTTTGCAAAAATGTTTAGCCAACCTGATTTTAATGAATGACTAAATCTGATTGCATGTCTGTGTCCACCTCAGCTTACAGAGCAATACAAAACATTAAACCCCATGCAACAAGTTCCTGCAGTGGAAGTTGATGGCATTACTCTGTCTCAGTCAGTAAGTTTGAGTTTATTCAATCCCAGATCATGAGCACATACAGCGCCCTACAAATGTCTTCACACCGCTGGAAGATGTTTTTCAGTTTTGACATACAAATGTCTGCGTATTTTGGGGGGATTTTATGTCCTAGAGCATCACTAAACGAGCAATAATTTGAGGAGGAAGAACAAAGTTTGCGTTTAGACTTTCATCTACAAGTGTTGATATGTATGGCTTTGGAGACTCATATTTAACTGCTTTTGCAGGTTCAAGTGTTTTGGGGACCTGCATGTCTCTAACAACTCTAAACATTTTAAGAGAAATATCTAAAAAAAAAAAAATGCCTTAATCTGAAGATCAGTTTTTAAGACTTGTCACACTTATGTTTTTAATTTATTTGGACTTCTTAGTCATAAATATGTTTTAATTTAAAGAGTTTATTGTAGCTCTGGTTCTACGGTCAGGGCTGATTCCTAAAAGTAAAAAAAAAATGAAAATAACCTGTGAGAAGTCTAGCATGGCATGTTTCAAATGAACTAAGGTGGCATCATCATGAGCAATCCTTCAATATGCTTGTTTTGCTCTTCTAGCTTGCTGTGATTCAGTACATTGACGAGACCAGACCGGGACCCCGTCTTCTTCCTGCAGACCCAAAGGCACGCGCACACGTTCGGATGATAAGCGACCTCATTGCCTCTGGGATTCAGCCTGTGCAGGTAGCTATAAAACCAAAATATATTTCTACTTTGACCGTCCTAAAAAAATTAAGTAATTTCAGTTTAATTTCAGAACTTATACGTACTGCAGAAGATCGGAGCGGAGAAGGTACCATGGGCACAGCACTTCATTAACCGTGGTTTTCAAGGTTAGGGGAAGACATTATCCATCCTTACTGTAGTAGAAAAGATCATGCACTGTGTGGTTTTTTTCACTGGGGTTTGTGTGAACTTTACGATCTCTCAGCTCTAGAGCCAATTCTGAAGCAAACATCAGGAAAATACTGTGTAGGTGATGAGGTAAGAAAACACCTATTAGACCGTAAGTAAACTCCATAAAATGCAGCCAAGGATTAACATTTTGGTGATTTATTTTAGATTTCCATGGCAGACATTTGTCTGGTCCCACAAGTCTACAATGCAGAGAGGTGCGTATTTTAACATTTCCCTTTAAAGTGCTCGGCATGGATATCAAGATTAAGGGCCTTCAAGAAGCATTCTTACCCCTTAAACTTTTCAAATTTTTGCCACGCAACATTAAACGAACTTCAACATATTTAATAGATATTTCATGTGATAAACAGATAGCATATAGTCATTAGGTGGAAGAAAATTGATACATGATTTTCTCTGGTACCATTCAGTTTTTGTTGTTACAATGTCACAAGTACAGAGCAACAAAATGAAATCTGTTCCTTTAACCCATCCTGTTGGGGAGCAGTGCGCTGCCATTGTGCGGTCCCCGGTGAGCAGTATAGGGTTAACGGTCTTTGCTCAGGGACCAAGGGTGAAAGTTTGTGAGAGTGGTGCTTGAACTCGGAACCTCTGGGATTCCAGGTGCAATGCCCTAACCTCTAGGCCGCCACTCCCCAATTTAAACCTGGGTTAGATTTAGTGTTGCGCCGATGCCATTTTTTGGCCCAGATACTGATACCCGATACCTGGCACCTGGCTGTGCAGTATCGACCGATACCATAATAATGTAAAATAATTGCCATCATGGCTTTGTCAAGCTGCTGCCTACCTTTGTGAAGCAGGAAAAAATGTAATACAAAGTGAATCCAGTTGAACTTTTTATTGCCTACCAGGAGTGGGTGACAATAGTTGAATAAACTTATGGCTCTCAAAATGGTATCGGTGCCCTATTTGTTGGTACTCGCCGATACCACCATTTTAGGGTAGTATCGGGGCCCCGTCCGATACTGGTATCTGTATCGGTGCAACACTAGTTAGATTATCAGAGAGCATCTTAAGCTTTGAGCATTTCAGATAACTGTTCACTCCTCTGGATATGGAAACTTTTACCCAACTGCAAATCTACAGAGAAATGGCTGTCAACCATAAGCGCAGGTAGGCACCCCAGAAAAGCAATGTTCAAATTTCAATGAAACCCTAATGGGGGATTTAGCAGAAATATAGAGAAAGGTGCTCTGGTCCCAAAAGATCTTAATTTAACTTCTCTGCCTACACGACTGTGAGCACAAGCTTTGAAAACTGCTTTTCCCAGATACTCCCCATGTGGTTGAACAGAGCATGAGCCATTTTCCAAAAAACTTCCATGTTTATGCAGTAGTTGGTGTTGGTGCTTTTCATTGAACCCCCTATGAAATCCTTTCAGAATTGATCTGCTGAACTGCTAATTTAACAAAATTTTTTTCTTAAAGGTTTAAAGTGGATGTAAGCCAGTATCCAACCATCAAAAGGTTAAATGAGACTTTGCTCGAGGTTGAAGCTTTCAAACTGAGCCATCCATCTCGCCAGCCGGACACACCTGCAGATCTTCGAGCATGAAATGTCAGTGTGGCACATGTACTGTGTAATACTGCTTTAAAAAAAATGTTTTATTGAACAGATTAAATAGCAGTGAAACTTTCAAAACATTCTGTCATTAATTTGTAAAAATCAGTTTTTCCAAAATACACAACATGACATTAAAAATCTATAAAACATGCAAATTGTACATTTGTTATTCAAAGTGGAGCACCTAAGTGCATACATCTTATTACTGGTGAACTGTTTATAGTAACACTTTAATTTACAACCAGTACAAAGCAAACAAAAGTTCACTTTTTCTTTCACATAATTTTTTTTGGATCATTATTTGTCTCTAGTTATTTCCACTGGACATTTTATTGTGTCGTCATAGAAGGAACCAGAGCAGTCAGAACCACCAAAGACCACTACTGTGCACTTGATATTTCTGTTTTCATCCTGCTCTGTTTGTAAATGTATCATGCTGTGTCCTGCACGGGGCTTGGTGCAAAGCATGGGGCATGCCACGGAGCTCCACATACAGGTGTCTAAATATGGAAAACAAAGCATCTTCGTTTTAAAACATGAGATCACAAATCGGCTTTTTTTGTTTTTAAACAAAAAAAAAAAGCATATAGTTGGTAAAGTACCAACACTCACCTGTGTTGAAGACGTGTACATCCTGCAGAGCTCCAATTGCACTGCAACCTCCACTGATCAAAATCCTGTTATCCGACACTGGAACTGCTGCATGAAATCTGATTTACAAGGGAGAGGGTTTTATCAGCATATCCAGCCACTTTATTTTCAGCTTGGTTTAATTGGATTATTTAAGAGATCAAAACGTGTGTGTGTGTATATATATATATATATATATATATATATATATATATATATATATATATATATATATATATATATATATATATATATATATATATAGAGAGAGAAAACAAGTATTCAAGTAAGTTCTCCGACTTAGAAATCCTGGAGAGGTTTGAAAATGTCATTGTAGGTGCATGTCCACTGTGAGAGACATAATCAATAAAACAAAATACAGAAATCACAATATATGATTTTTTTTTTTTTTTTTTTTTTAACCATTTATTTGTATGATACAGCTGCAAATAACCCATCTCTCAGCCAGAATTCTGACCCTCAAAGACCCGTTAGTCCCCCTTCAACATGTCCACCTCCTTTCAATTTATTCTCCTAATTTAGATGCACTTGTTTGAGGTTGTTAACTGCATAAAGACCCCTGTCAACCCTGTACAATCAGTAAGAATCCAACTACTATCATAGCCAAGACCAAAGAGCTGTCCAAAGACACTAGAGACAAAATTGTACACCGCCACAAGGCTGGAAAGGGCTACGGGGAAATTGCCAAGCAGATAGATAAATAAGGTCCTCTGTTAGAGTAATCATTAAAAAATGAAAGAAGCTAAACATCACTGTCAATCTCCCTTGGACTGGGGCTCCATTCAAAATCTCACCTCGTGGGGTCTCGATGATCTTAAGGTGAGAAATCAGTCCAGAACTACAAGGGAGGAGCTGGTCAATGACCTGAAAAGAGCTGGGGCCACGTTTCCAAGGTTACTGTAGGTAATACACGGAAGGTTCCCCAATTAAACCAGCACATGTCAAGGCCCGTCTGAAGTTTGCCAATGAACATTTGGATGATCCAGAGGAGTCATGGGAGAAAGTGGTCAGATCAGACCAAAATAGAACTTTTTGGTCATAATTCCACTAACCGTGTTTAGAGGAAGAAGAATGATGAGTGCCATCCCAAGAACACAGTCCCTGCTGTGAAGTATGGGGGTGGTACCATCATGCTTTGGGGGTGTTTTTCTGCACATGGGACATGGCGACTGCACTGAATTAAGGAGAGGATGACCGGGGACATGTAGATATCTTGGGTAATGACCTCCTTCCATCAGTTAGAGCATTGAAGATGGGTTGAGGCTGGTTCTTCGTGACCATGATTTTCTTTCTTTTTTTTTTTAAGATTATGTCAGACCCCCCCCCCATTATTTTTAAGTGTGCCAACGTGCAAAATAGTAGGATGTTCAAATATTTATTTTCCTCACTGTGTGTGT